GTTTTTTTGTGATGCACATTATGTATAATATGTGATTTTTTTGTCTTTTATGAAATTTGCACACAGGTTTGACTAAAATAGATAATGGCACTATTTTAACTCACTCTTTCTGCACAGTGGGAAGCCAAGTATTGAAATTAATATATAGTTTTTTTGCCTTTGCAGTTTGCTTATACTTCACAGAAATGTGACACACATTTTTATTTATTGCAGGAGAGAATAGTAAAATATTACATTTCAAAGTCATCTTCAAATTGACTGTGCCCAGTGAGCTACATAAACATTCAAACAACTAACACCACCACATTAACACAACCAACTACAAAAACAACAATCCAAAACTACAAAAAACTAAACGCAAACTACCTCTAAATACATAAAAAAAAATTTATTCAATCCTTCTGTTCAATCTTGAAATCAGCACAGTTACAAGTAAGGTGAAAAGCTCATGATAGCCATCAAGCATATGAATATCAAACTTCTTTCAAGCTGGCCTCTCGCCATACGACTCCAAGCACATTCAGCCTTCTTTCCTAATGCAATGGTCCACAATCTCACTGTACATTTTTTCATCATACTCCCTCTTAAATCGTACAAAACATCTCTCCTTAAATTCCAAACAAGTCATGTAGCTACACTCCTTTGCCATTGCTCACTTCGAATTCGCTTCCTGAGATCGATATGATGAAATTCATATATAGCTTTACACCAACCAAGAAGACCGCGCATATGCGATTGGGTTTCAATACAGTAATAATACAATGCGAAGGTTTTTGTTTTTTTTTTTAATTTGTGTCTTTGGAGATCCTAATTGCCCTCGTTCCTCTTTCTTCCCCCACTTGCATACATATTCACATACGATTCCTTCCACATGCTCCATCAGCTCGCTTGAGAAGACATGTTAGGTGGGTGTTGTCTAAGCTTGTATACTCGATAATGGGTGCAATATGGATAGATTGAAATAGCTCCTTTGTGTTTTATTCCCCTTCCTTCTCGCGTGGCCTGAGAATGGCAGATTTTTGGGTCAAATCCTCCTTATTTTTCATGCTACAGTTCAGTAGGGCAATTTCCTTTTTATCATTTATACAGATGTCCTGCTTTTTGTGGAATAGAAACTGATTTTTAATCTATTGGAAAAAATAAACTCCGAGCTTTATTCAGACTGGAAGGACCCTTTTAAATTTAGATCGGAGTTTCAAAATGTCTGTGGGGACTAGTTATATCATTAGCGCTAATACCTTGGGGATGATTGAAATTATTATGGGTCAAACCCTGAGGGACATAAAAATTAAGATAATTAGGTTCTCCTATTAGTATAAGTTAAAAGGTGGTTTTAACCTTTTATCTTGCTAGGTAGCCCCGGATCGTATCCAAATGTTGCATTGATTTTTTTTTGTAAAATTAATAATTTTTTTATGTAAAACTAATACTAAACTAGATTACATTTTTTTTTTGAAACATTAATATTTTTATATATACCTAGCAATTTTCTACCATTATTATCACATGGTTCAATATTTAAAATGAAATAAAGAGATAAGTTCAATTAGCTTATTCTATTTATTTTAATATAATAAATCACATAAAAAAATATTTATTTATATAATAAATCAAATAAAAAATAATATATTTATCTTAAAATAATATATACATATTTTAAAAAAATTTTGTACATAAAAATCTTCTATATATTTATTTTTTTTTTGTTTTAAAAATCTTCTTATGCTTTTACTAATTTATTAGTCTAGTTTTTAAAATTTTTGTTATTTCACTTTAAGTGTAATTTTTTAAAATTTAAAAGAGAATTTATTATATTTTTATTCTTATTTATTAAACCTCACATAATTATAAAATATAATTAGTCGTAAAAAATCGCGCTTTGCTCGCTTGTGTGAAGATATTATTTAAATAATATTATTAAATATGTATTTTTCTTTTAAAATATAACCATATAAAATGTTTTTCTCATTTTTAATTAAAATAACATAAGGAATGATATTTCAAAAAGAGAGAGAGAGAGAGAAAAAAAAAAAGAATTTTTAGCTAAGGAAGCTTTCTCTTCTTGTACGGAGGAGGTGTTGTTTATGGAGGAAGTCTATTCATTCTTAGATATTTTATTCATGCTCATATGGCCTTCTTTTCTTAATAATATTTTGATTTTCATTTTCAAAAAAAAAAAAAAAAAAAAAAAAAAAAAAAAAAAAAGAAACATAAAAAATAAAATTCATTGAAAAAAAAGACTTTTTTTTTTAGTATTGGGAAAGGAGATTTAAATTCGGATCTATTACCGGATCGTACATATACTTATTACTAGGCCATACCTTAGTGAGCATAAAAAAACAAAAAGACTATTATTACTAGGTTCGAGATTTTTTCTTAACTAAATAACATAAAATAATATTTATATAATAATTTTAAAAATTACATCATTAATAAAAAAGATAATTTTTTTTGTTAATTAATCGTGGAAAATAGCCAAAATATTTAATACTTTTATAATTTTCTTTGTTCGGATTGTTTTCGATGGGATTTTTTCACTAATTCCAAAAAGTAATTTAAAGATGTTATGATATTAATTCTATCTGCAGGTATTGATCTCCTTTTATTATTATTTAACAAATGAAGACTAGTTTTAAGCAACGATGATGTGATATAATTTTGAAATTAACATATTAAATTTAAAATTTAGATTAAAGTCCCAATTATCTGTTGGGAAAATCGCTATATTTCCCGCCCTTCGGATCGGCTTCAAGTAGGAACAAATGAGAAAATAAAATAATGACTGAGAAATTAAAGAGAACACGATAAGTGGAGAAAAACTACAGCCGTTGCCAAACGACAACCAAGAAAAATATTCACTATGCGGCAAATTGTTACAACCACAATTACAAAATATTTTTCTAAACAAACCACAAACAACAATATTTTTCCTAACCTGATACCCTCAAAACACCCCAATATTTTATACTCCAAAGGACTCTAAAGAGACCTTGCTCTAAATCCTTATATAAAAAACATACATTCAAGTGGTTTTTTGGTGTGTTTAGAAAACCTAAAACATTAGCTTTTCTTTTTATAACCAAACCTAACCACCCCCTTTTTTGCTCAAGTCTCCCCGATGGGGGATTGAGCAAAACCTTTTTTTTTTTATTTGTTTCAAGCGACTGAGCATTATCTGCAATATTATATAATTGAGCAAAACCTTTTTTTTTTTTATTTGTTTTCAGCGACTAGCATTATCTGCATATATATATATATATTATTTATTTATTTAAAAATATATTATGTAAGATCCTGACTAATTAAATTATTCTCCCTTATTTTTATTAGAATGTCATTTCATATATTTGTTTAAAAAACACATTATTCAGTTAGTTATTCATCTCATATTAAATACAATATACCTCAGTATAAACTTAATATATCCAAAATTTTTAAAATGAAAATCGATTAATGTACATAACCGATTCCTTTCAATTTTTAGCTATTGTTTGGATAAGTTTGCACTTATTTTTTGGACTTAATAAAAATCAAACTAAATTAAAAGTTTCTCTAATCTTTTTGTTAACATTGAAATAAAATTAAATTGGTTAAGAATCAAATCGAAGCAAAACTAATATTTTAGTGTACTATTGGCAAGTTTATAGTTTGCCTATAGAGCTTGATGAAGTTAATTGAAATAGAATAAACTATTACTAAATTTCAAATATAGCTTGTTTACTTATTCATCATGTCCATATATAGAAATAAAATAATTCTACACAAAACTAAAAAAAATATTAACTTGATAATATTGTTTGTAATACCTATATTCAACTTTCACCAACTTGTTTTGAACATTAAAATTCAAATCAATCTATTAAACTAATAAAAGTCCTCTCTATATTGTTTTCTCAAATTGATAGACTGTACTTTATGTCTACAATAGATAAGCAGAAAGACAAAAAGCAGATTAGCGATCACCTCATCGTATGTTACCTGCAGAAGCAGCAAAATGTCAATCAAAATGCAACTTTTTAATTAATAATGGTCGGAGAAGAGAAACTTTGGTCGGAGAAGAGAATGATACCGCAGTACCTATATGAACCAGAAAGCAAAATTCGTGTATTAATTAATAATGGTAAATTAAAGAAAGATCAAGTGATTAAGAGTGTGGAGAGAACCTTTTTGAAGCAGTTTTGAATGGATAAGAGATTAAAAAAAAAAAAAAGAAAACGAAGTAATGAGGTCGCGTGAATTGATACGAAGGATATGAAAATGTTATATAAAAACTATAATTTGTGTTTCAATTTAAAACTTTAACTCTAAATTTTAGATAATCTATAATTTAAACAATTTAAATCTCGTGTTTTATGATGGATAATTATGTATTATGTATAGATCTAGTTTAACAATTTTAATAATTCAATATGAATAATTTATAAATAAACTATTAATTAAAATATTTAAGTTGTCCAATAGCGGTACAGAAAAATAAAGAAAAAATTTTAAAAATTTCTTAAAAAAAATAAAATGCTGAATAAAGAAATAATGTTGATTTTTGTTTTTTTTTCAGTTTTCATATAAATAGATAAAAAGAAAGATATATGGATGTTTGGAAATTAATAAAAGAGTATTGAGGTAATTGAGATGTAAATTTTATTTAATCAAGATAAACCTTTTTCTTTTTTTTCGTATGTCTTAAAGCTAAAAGGCGACACACTTCGAGTATATACGAAGTTTTTTTTTTTTTTTTTAACACACTTCGAGTAATATACGAAGTTTTTTTTTTTTTTATTGGGATCATTTTAACTAGTTTTGACTTATGAGAACGTAGCCAATTTGTAGCTTGGGACGCTAACAGCGAAGTTTTTTTTTTTTTTTTGGGATCCATTTACTAGTTTTGACTTATGAGAACGTAGCCAATTGTAGCTTGGACGCTACACACACAATAACCGCTCTTCTTGTACCTTCCAGTCCACAAGGAGGAACAATTTAGCAAGTAGCATGTTCTGGCAGATTGGAAGTAGAAAGAAACGGAACGGCAAAGTAACAAAAGAGACGTGCTCTTTAGACCCGCGAATCTCTCTTCTATCCTTTAAAATGAATTAAAAAAGGAAAAAAGAAAAATCAACGGAACTTTGCTCCCGAATACTTCAATTTCACATCACTGTTTTTATCAAAGAATTTCGATTATCAGCTTTTCCGATCTTCCGCACCAGGCGATGCTGCTACGAATTGAACACCGCTAAAACACTGATCCGAGTATCGAATACGGAAGAAGAAGAAGATGTTGGAGGATCAGGTAGCGTATCTCTTGCAGAGATACTTGGGAAACTACGTACAAGGCCTTAGTAAAGAAGCTCTCAAGATCAGTGTATGGCAAGGTTTGCGTTTTCTTCTTCTTTTCCTTCTTCATCAACTTTGCGACGATAAGCTTCTTTCTTGGATGTTAGATATTCTGTTTAAGTTCATTTCGGGGAGGTTTTAGTGGCTGTGATTATGCTCTTGAATTAGAATTTGAAGTCCTGAGATAATTAAATTTTTTGTTTATGTTTACTTAAGATTGAGTTGGCAAATGGAAGAGAGTGCTGTTCTAATTCAGTTTTTGGGGGTTTTTAGGTGCTGTATAATTTTGAAGTTGAATTTGAGTCGTCTGCACATTTGGCGATTTGTAATCGCTTCTGTGTTATGCAATGTCGTTTTATTTACATTTAGTTAACATCGAGCTAGCAAATGTAACGGAATGCTGGTTCCAATTGATTTGTGGATTTCCATTTGCTTGACATATCACATATGGAAGTAAATTCACACACACGCGTACACATATATTCTTGAAACAAAGTTTTGATTCTTATATTTTATCCTGAAGTTGAATTTGAAGTTGTCTAAGCATTTGGCGATAATGGCTGTGTTAGGGCAACAACTTTTGAGTAATTTTTTACAGTGTTGGTGACATAGCATTTGAACTGGCCTTTAGAGTTTATAGAAGCCTTTTATAAAAGGTTAACCCTATAATGTTTAGCTTTTAACCTTTTATGAAAGGTTACTCAAATAACTAATTTTGCCGAATAGACCCGGTAAATCAGTTTTAGGGGGTGGTTAACTTTTTGAATAAGGTTCATTTATCAATTGTGCAAAAATTTTGTTCAATGGATTAATGTTTAATAATAAATTAACACTTCTATAAACTTAACTTATTAAAATAGTTTAATCAATTTTTAACTATTGAGGTTGAGTAAGGTAAAATGTTAAACAACTGTTTCCAAATAAAACATACATGGATTTTGAAATTAAGATTTTTTTTGTTACGTACTTTCTTTACAATAGTTAAATGATTTCTTTAATTTTTCCATTTATCATCTTCTTATTGTTGTATTAACATTTCATGGCATCTCTTCTATATTTATTTCTTTGTCTATTAAAGTGGGCTTTCTTCTTTTTATTTTTTATTTTTTATTTTTATATTGAAAGATGAAAGGGCTTACATATTTTTTTTATTGTTGTTCTAGTGAACAATTTTTATTGGTCATTATATAAATACTATTTGCAGTGAATTGTGATTTTTGTTTATTGGTCACGAACTAACTTGTGAAATTGAAACATGAAAGAAAAGAAACTGTCTCTTGTTAGTTTATATTGTATTTAGTATGGTTGACAAAAGCCAAAATCTCCAAAACTTTTGTTTTTTCTTAAAACATTCAGTTTTTTGAATTGACCCCAGTCATTGAGTGTAGTGCTGCCTTTCTTTAGCTTGTTCATACTAACTAATTTTAACTTTTACTTAGCCATTGCATTTCTATTGAAGTAATGTATACAACTGCCCCTTTTTATACGCTTAAAATTCATTTGTTGCAGTACTCTTTTAATTTGATAATTACTAATTAGTACTTATTAAAATATTGGATGAAATACTTATATATTTATGATTTTGTTCATTAAAATGATTAAACTCAAATTCTTCTTGAAGTTTGGTCTCTTTTGTTAGTGAAAGAGCTTGCATGAGCGTTTTAATGAGCTGGGCTTGAGTCAATCTTGAGTACCTTGTTTTGTTTTTAAGCACTGCATGCAGCAGGTTGGAGATCTCCTTTGTTCTATTGTAGGCTTTTCCTTTTTCTTATCCTAGCTTGCTGTTCTAAACTTATGAACTAATATAACCTTCAGGCTTATTTCTTGTATATCCTATTTCTGGAGAACCACTTTGCCATCAATGGCTTTTGTCCCTGTTTGTAGCTTTACCAGTTCCAAATGTTGTTCTTTAGGTTCACTTTTGTGTTCTGCCACCAACACAATCCTGTGTTTATGTTGGCCTGTTGGGTTATTACCATTGTGAAGAAATGCCAAATAAATGATATTTGAGCTTGGACGAAATGATAGGTTTACAGGCATAAATCCATGTCCCTGGTCTTTGCATTTCTTATCTATAATAACTTTTGGGAGTTGATAGGGTTTGGGCTTAAATCCTTGTCCCTGGTCTTTGCATTTCTTTTTTATAATGATTCTTGTGTTTTATTTTGAAATTGCTAATCAAGTTAAATGTGGCTCTTTTACCATATTTCTTCATTTTGAAATTACTAATCAAGTTAAATGTGGGTCTTTTACCATATTTCACCTAACTGTGCATCAAAAAGAACTTTGTAGTTTACATATTAAGGTCTTTTTTTGTTCCAATCATGATATATGTATGTTTGAAGCTTACAAAGAAAAGCTTACTAAAGCAGTGGCAGAGCTAGGATTTGAAGTTGGGGGAAGGGGCAAAACTATTTCTTTTCAAAATAAGAGAGGGACAAGCAGTTTTGGATTTTTTTTTTTTTTTTTTTTTTAGTTGGGGGAAGGGGCAAAAAGAACTAATTTCTTTTCAAAATAAGAGAGGGACAAGCAGTTTTGGATTTTTTTTTTTTTTTTTTTGGGGGGGGGGGGGTGGTGGTTGGGTGCCGCTGGATCTAAACAATTATGATTTTCTAGTTGAGCAATTGTGTCATGAATATCCTACAAATAAATTGGATTGATCATCAAATGGGGCATTCTGCTTAATTTGGAGGTTATAACTATTATTTACTAGGTGTCTCTGGTTCTTTACTTATTCCTTGAAAATTAAAAACAGGTGATGTAGAGCTAACAAATATGCAACTGAAGCCAGAGGCACTCAATGCATTGCAGTTGCCTGTAAAGGTTAAAGCAGGATTTCTTGGATCAGTGAAACTTAAGGTTTGTGGGTGTAGCATGTTAATTAAAGTAAATCTTATTTTTTATGGACTATTATTGCATGTCTTGTGTTTGAAGTGATCCAACCTTTTTTCTTTCTTCTTCTTCCTTTTCATGTCTGCATGTATGAAGGGATTTGAGGTGTATGATTACATTTCCTGATTGCATGTATGGGGCATGTAAGGTTCTGCTGTACTTAAGCTTCAGACTGTTAACCCACTCAAAATTTTGTTTTCCGGCATATATAACGGTTTTGTACATTACTGTCTTATTTTTAATGTGGCAAGGTGGGCTTCAGGTGACAACTCTATATCTATATCTTTTTTATTTGGCTGAGAATCTCTAATCTTAAATCTGTGTGAATTTTGATCAGGTCAATATGGGGAAGAAATATGTGAGAAGTTTTTTATTTCCACAATTAGTGCTTTGGAAATAAAGAATGTCTTATTTTATGTGAATGATAATGATGTTGCAGAAATAACCCTCACCAGTTAAGTTGTAGATTTGACAAGAGAATAGTTAGAAGAGAGAAATAGTTGAAAGAGACAACCATAAATCATAATTCAACCAAAAAATCGCTGAGTCTTCTGGTGACACGGCTGGAAAAATAAACTACCAGTAACTGCTACTTTTATTACTTCAATTTCTGAAATCTGCCTCTAAACAGAACATCACAGTCCTATTTGTAAGCATCTAATCCAACTAGAGTAAGGTTTTAAACATGAATACCAATAGAATAAGGACTATGGCATAAAATTCTGGTAGGATAATAAAGTCCTAAATAATAAATCCTAATAAAAGTAGGTGTTGACTATTCTTAAAAGGCCTGACTTAATTAAACATAAAATAACTCTAATTAGAAATTTGCTACAGTATTGTGAACAGTAACATGCTATAGTTTTGCGAACAGTTCTAGATTTTAGGTTCTGAAAAGACTAGTCAATTCTAGACTAGATTAATGTAGAAGACTTTCTTGAGAGTTTAGGTTGGTTAATTTTTACCACCTTTGCTCTTATATTTGCCAAGGATTTGGAAGGAAAGATTTTTAGTTTTACCCGCCTTTATGGTCAAAGTGGTTGTGCAAGGGTGCAGTAGTCAAATATGGTTTTGAAATGTGCATTGTGGTAGATGTTTTGGAGAGGAATTATGTAGTGAGGTTCCCTTGATCACTGGGTGTCCTGAAAAGTATTTGAACTTTGTAATGGTTGGGATGGTTCCAAATTCTATTCCAGGGACGGTCTAGCATGATAGTTGGTAGGGAGATTAACCTTTAAAACTATCTTTCAACAAGGACCTGGTGTACTTTTAGTGCTTTAGTTTGTTAGCGCCTGAAATTTGTCAATACATTAATATACTAGGAATCAATTTGTTGAATATTTCCAAAATAAATTATTTTATGAATGTTTATTATGTCACATTCATTTAGATGGCTGAATTGGACTTGATTTAAGTGGCTATTGATGAAAGGGGCAGGACTTACCTTACATTAAGTTTTATGTTCTTAGACTGGTAACATTTATGGAGATGTGACAGGGAGTTGATTGACCATCCTGATTTCACTGTATTTCAGTAATCAGTTTATTGTTGCCATCTAATTCCTGTAAAAATGGTGTTAGGGATTTATGGCTGTTCAGAAATTTTGGATAAGAGTGAAGACAATTTCTGAGAATCTGTTCCATTCTATTTTAGGAGCAATCTATGGTTGGTTGAAATACAGATGCAGCTACTCATGCTTGCTCATATTCCAGCATTCTTCGTTTTGCAGTCCTCTGCATACTGCATACTAATAAAATTGTCACTCATCAAGCAAAATAATTTTTTAAATTACATTCTAGACTAGTGTTATTAGAACCATACGATTCAGATTTGTGATTTGCGATTCGAATCGTATGATTCAAGTTGTTTCTCATGCCCACCGATGCGAATCTTATAGGTGAATTGGACTTGAGCATGATTGCCAATCATACCATTCAATGGTTGCCAATCTTTTATCTGTCTTCTTCTTCATAAGTATTCACTGTTATTTGAACTTCTGACACTATCTCACAGTAATGTCATTTTGCTTACAAATCAAATTTGGGCCCTTTCACAATTATCATGGTATTGGTAAACAGTTAATTCTGAATTTGCAGTGAAAAGGATACTAAAAAATTGACTGCTACACATAAAAAACCACAATGCACAGCATAGGAAAATTGGCAAGTTCAGAGTGAATGACTCTCGCTTTACTTCCACATCTTTTTGTATTTTTCTTCTCTTTCTGCCTTCCAACTAATATAAGAGCTTGTTCTGTTGCTTAGCTATGGATATGGTAATTTCTTTTCCATGCGCAAGAATTATATACGCAGCGCATATCAATTTCAGGTTCCATGGAGCAGGCTTGGCCAAGATCCGGTTTTAGTTTACTTGGATCGGATTTATTTATTGGCTGAACCTGCCACTCAAGTTGAGGGGCGCAGTGATGATGCAGTACAAGAAGCAAAGAAAAGCCGAGTACGGGTAAGAAATGGTGAGCCATGAGTAAGTAGATTTTGTTTCTGTATGCAGCATTTTTGAATGATGAACTGTCTTTAATATTCTTTGTGGCATAGGAAATGGAAATGAAGTTATTGGAGAGGGCACAACGACTGAAGTCTGAAGTGGTATAATATTTATCTAGCATTTTTAAACACCTAAACCTGTTGACTGCAATTAGTTGCTTCATATATAAATATTTTTTACAATTATATAAATTCCTGATGTGGCCTAATACTGCTTTATCTCCTAATTAGTGTGCTGTTGTTGTGAACATGATGCGCATTTTGGAGGTTTTTCTCCTTTTTATTCTGGTTTTACTTTTTTGCTTCTGCTGTTGTTTTTGTTTTTTTTTTTTGTTGTTGTTTGTTTCAGTAAGGAGAATACCTTATCCTCCAAGTCATATTTCTTTTCTTTCATTCTTAAGAAATCTTTTTTTGCATGTGTAGAACTTAAATCCCATTTAGCAGTTAATGCTACAGATAAAGTCCCATTTATACCTGTATCAATCATCAGAATCAAAATATCAACCACAATATTGAATAAGAATGGATGCAACTTATCACCTTGCTTCAAGTCCTAGAAAACTTGAATTAATTCTTAGGCTGACCATCATTGAAATGAAGATTTAGAAACAGCAGATGTGAGCACCATTATTTTATTTCTTCCATCTGACTCCAAAACTCTTCATCTACATTACCTTTTCTTGTAAATTCATGACTAACTCCGTTATAACCTTTGACGAAATCCAACTCAAGAATGGCTGCCTTCTGATGTTCGTGTTTCTTTTGTGGCATTTTTCAATTATATAAAAAAAGTTGCAGTTTTTGGCTGCTACAAACATTAATTCTATGTTGAACTTGAAAATTGTGAACCAACCTTTCATGAATTTGCATTCCTTGCTTGTGAGATGTTTCAATTGAACAGCCTGTACCTCTATTAGATTAGTTGAAACTTTAGAGTTTGGAAATCACTGTCAAATGTCTAGTTGGATTCTGGAAGGTTGAAATATTTGCAAGTTGCATGGCCGAGAAGGATTATGTATCTGAATGTAAAACCTCTATTTAGCTTAATATCTGGTCTCGGAGGATTGTTCTGTTCTTTCAATATCACTTTCATACATTAAACTCTACTCGTTTTTAATGAGTGGAGTTTAATATATGAAATTTGAATCATACCATGCTTCATGTTGCTTTATTTGTTCTGAAATTGGGCTTCTGTTGTTGCCATATAAATAATATTGTTCCAGGAATTGGTTCATAACACAGTCTAACTTCATTGACAGTGTAATCTTGTTATCTTTTTTTTTTTTTTTTTTTTTTTTTTTTTTTTTTTTTGCCATATAAATTAATATTGTCCCAGGAATTTGGTTTCATAACACAGTCTAACTTCATTGACAGTGGTAATTCTTGTTATCTTTTTTTTTTTTTTTTTTTTTTTTTTTTTTTATGTTTGTTTCTCAAAATCCTGTGTCCTTCTATTAGAACTTAACCTCCATTGGTTTTTTTTTTTTTTTTTTTTTTTTTTTTTTTTTTATGTTTGTTTCTCAAAATCCTGTGTCCTTCTATTAGAACTTAACCTCCATTGGATTTTCCCTGTTTGACTTTTGAAGAATAAATCGTGGTTGGGATCTCTTATCAACACTGTCATTGGGAATCTGAAGCTGTCAATTTCAAATATCCATATCAGATATGAAGACCTTGAGAGGTATGCTTTTTCTTACAAGTGTTAATTTTTTTATTGTAAGTTAACTTTGATTGGAACCATTCTTCTATTTTACAGCAATCCTGGCCACCCATTTGCAGCTGGTATAACTTTGGGGAAACTCTCAGCTGTGACAATTGATGACAATGGGATGGAAACTTTTGTTACTGGTGGTACTCTAGACAGTATTCAGAAGGTTCATATTTTCATCCTGTGTATTACCTTTTTTTTTTTTTGGTGGACAAGCTGTGGAACACTTTCATTTGTTTAATTTTCTTCTGAAGTATATATTTTTGTTTAATTTTCTTCTAAATTATATTGAAATGGTTAATTTTGGATAGCAGAGTAAGAGATAGAATCATAATGTTGTTGATTATTTTTGAAAAATGTGTTGGCTGTTCACTGGGGGGGCTATTTCTGCTCCCTCAACGTCTTCCTACACTCCCGCTTATTTATGGTGCATTTATAAATACAGTTACCAAGTTGAGCACCATATCAATTTGTACTTGGGCTTCTCTTTCTGGGCTAATCCCAAAACATCATATTTTCTTTCCTTGTTTTTCACATAAAAAAAAAACTTTGTTTTCCTTGTCCTCTAAAGATCATATGAAGCCTTCTTTTCTTTGTAGCCATCATTTTCTATGTTTTCATATATTTGAAACTCAAATTCTCTGTTTTATTGAGTTTTTTTTTTTATCTCTTTAATTTTTCTTTTATATCCTTAATTCTCTTCGTACATTCCAAATCACTCTTTCTGCATAACCTCTGATGAGCTTTTAAATCCTGGTTTACACCCTTTTGATGATCTAATGCTAATTGACGTTGAAGATTTTTGTTTCGAGTAGTTGTGCATAAAGTCCTTGAATTGGATCTCGATTGACCAAGTTACTACTGTGTATTTCATTCCTATAGACACGTCAAGCAAATATCTTGATCCAGATTTTGGATATTTTGGATTTGATAAAATTTTATTCTCACAGTCCAGCTGGGAAAGCTTGAAGTGTTAGGAGATTAATGCTAGGGTTATAGAAATCAAGATATCAGTGTTGCAGATCTGAATTTCTTTAGAAAATAAAGGAAGAATTCAGCAAACGAAAATGAACTACTAGCAGCACACTAATAGGGTCTAGGACTCACTCCCATAAAGAAGGAATTACACTTTCTATGGTTAGAATTGCATCCAACTCAAGCAAAAAGCATAATCTGCTGTAATTTTATTGAATTAAACCTTGATTAACAAGCATTACAGGCATGCAGATACTCACTGACCCAAACTACTCCTAAACATTTACCTAATAGGAATTGAAAACTAGTCCAGAATCTTAAAATTCTTGAGCCTTTGAATTTGAATTTTCTTGATTTCCTTGTCTGCATCGTTTAGCATAGTTCTTCTTAGACTGCTGTTATAGTTGACAACATTGTCAGAAATTTTTTTTTGGGAAAAATTGAATTAGTTGTATTTTTCTTTTTTTAGCTAAAATGTTCCTGCAACCAAAAAAAAAAAAAAAAAAAAAATAAAATGTTCCTGCCAACCAAAAAAAAAAAAAAAAAAAAAAAAGGGAAAAGAAAAAAGAAGAATTAAAGAGAGATGTAGGTTGAAGGATTTCTTGTTCAGGGGAAAACTAATAGTAAAATCTGCGTGGGAAAAAGAAAAAGGGAAAGTTTCTAGGATCTTTGATGGATTGAAAAGAAAAAATTAATAAAAAAAAAAAAAAAAAAAAAGGGAAAAGAACAAGAAGAATAAGAGAGATGTAGGTTGAAGGATTTCTTGTTCAGGGAAACTAATAGAAAATACTGGGGGAAAAGAAAAGGAAAGTTTCTAGGATCTTTGATGGATGAAAAGAAAAATTAATATGAGAGAAAGGAAAGGAAAGGAAAGGAAAGGAAAATGATGATTTGGACTTTGTTAAAGAAGGAAATTTTCCTCCAATGATGTTTCTATGTACGATTTTGTTGATACTATGATTTTGGACATTCATGTATTTGCTTTTGATTGTTTTCAGTCTGTTGAACTTGATCAACTTGCTCTTTATCTGGATTCTGATATATCTCCATGGTATGTTAAAAAACCATGGGAGGATTTGCTTCCTTCAGAGTGGGTTCAGGTACTATTTTCCTAGTCCTTATCATTACTAGTAGTTTTCATCTATTTGGATTTGTTTTATTTTTTTATTTTTTCTATCCACAAATTCTACAAATATCAAATTCCTGTGAAACTTCAGGTTTTCAGTTTTGGTACAAATGATGGTAAGCCGTCTGATCACATCATGAAGAAACACTCTTACATTCTGCAACCAGTGTCTGGGAATGCAAAATACTTGAAGTTGCAGCAGAATGAATCTGCTAATGTTGGTCAACCTTTACAGAAAGCATTTGTAAACTTGGATGATGTGACACTTCGTTTGTCCAAGGTTGTCATTGATGTTTCAGGTCCAGTTTTCTTTGGTTCTCAGGGTAGTATGTTATGTTCATGTTGTCTTCATTAAGTTGTCTCTTTATGTTTACAGGATGGATACAGGGATATCTTAAAATTAGCTGATAACTTTGCTGCCTTTAACCAACGCTTAACATATGCTCATTATCGGCCACTTGTGTCTGTGAAATCTAATCCACGATTGTGGTGGAAGTATGCGTACAGAGCTGTTTCTGATCAGATGAAGAAGGCAAGGTATTTGAATATATTTTTTTTCCTATAGAGAATGCAATCATTACAAATTATTACCATACATGTATAAGTATATACATGTTGCAAACCACGCGAGCTTGCCTGTAATAAACATTTCTGGCAATTGCATATGATGTCAGCTGGTGCAAAGTGTCTTCTTTCTGCTTGTCTGAGAGCATGATATGAGCTCTTTGTGCAGGTGCTTTCTAGAATTTTCATGGTACATGTTACAACAAATTGGAAGGTTTTTAGGTTCATGCATTATCAATTTTATATGTGAAGTGTAATCTTGGTCCACCATTTTAGCAGCTTTCCTTGAACTTTTTGGAGCAGGAGGCTGTTTTACATGGCCCCCGATCAGGAAATGCCATGTGAAAATATCTCGTTGAGTTCCGTGATTAACAGGACTAAGACTATAAGGAACTGCCTAAGCTACCCTTTACCCAAGAAAACAAGTTGAAAAGTCAATGTAAAGAAAGAAGAGCAAGAGAATATAGTTATATGAGAAAATGAAGATGATGAAGGGCTTGAATTTGGAAAAAATGAATGAATATAGATTTAGATAGGAAATTAATGGCTTGATAATTTTACTTTGTTTTTGTTTTAAAATTTTAACTTCATGGTTTGATGTTTTGAACTTGGTAACTGCACAAGTCATGAGGTTCTCTTTCATTTTGTGTTCAATACATGATTTGGAATTGAAATTCATGTAAATACATCATTTGCAATTAAATTTTTAGTATCTTTTGACAACTATGTATTTATATATGTGTGTGTGTATATATATATATATATGGACACAAACACAAACACTCTTATGATTAGTTTTAAAATTTTTATTACTGCTGTTGCTAAGGAAATAATCTTGTGGCAGTGGGAAATTATCCTGGGAGCAGATACTAAGATATGCAAGCTTACGCAAGAGATATATCTCTTTATATGCTTCTCTGCTAAAGTCTGATCCAAGCCGGGCAATAATAGATGATAACAAAGAAATTGAGGAGTTGGATCGTGAACTTGATATCGAACTCATACTACAATGGAGGTACTGACAAACCTATAGGTGTAAGTTTTGATGTGTGATCTGTAAGTGTATTATTTGACACATTGATAATGTGAAAAGCAATAGAAGGCTATTCTTGGGACAAAATTATTTTAGACCAACGTCATTATCTTGCTTTCTTTCACCCTCTTTTTTCTGTCTCATATGTGCATGCAGTCACATACATACAGTTGGTTGCAGTTGGGTGAGTAGTCTTCCAACTCTAACAGCCCGCCCTTGGCCTTCTAATCACTCCTGTCTTAAGATATGTGGTTTCAAAAACACCTGTTTTTAATCCAGTGATACTGAGCTACCTCTGCTTGTGTGTTATTTCAGACCAAAAATTTCGATGTCTAATTGCTTGTCATATTTAATCATTATTTTTTTTTTCTACTCTAACACACAGTGCATTGTCACTTTAATCATGATCCACATAGGAAGTTTGAAAACACAAATCCAGTGTTCTAAATTTTTATTTTTCATTTTAGATTTCTGAAATTATGTTTTGGCTTTATGGCTGGAGACAACCTAGTTATTGAACAGGATAAATGATGTGTGCATCTATACATGCATATGCATCTAGATCTAGACATTTTTTTTCTTCATCCATTACACATAAATTTTGTGTAGTTTGTATGTGGATTTCTATGTGCTTGCAGTCATATGTTGCTTATGAGTATGCTAATTATTACATGTTTTACAGTTGATGATACATTTTTAGATTTTTATTTTTATTTTTGTGGTGAAAGTATTTTACTGTATCCTGATATTGGCAGGATGTTGGCGCATAAGTTTGTGGAGAAGTCAATTGAATCAGACATCTACTCAAGGAAACAGAAAACTAAGAAATCATGGTGGTCATTTGGATGGTAATAAAATTCTGTTCTTGAGAATAAACCTCTTAATACTTATCCGAGTTTACTTTATGTGGTAATGTTAGTAAAATTTTATGCCTGTCAATTTCTTCAGGGGCACTGAATCTCTTGAAGATGAAACTGAACAATTTCATTTCAGTGATGAGGACTGGGAACAGCTAAACAAATTGATAGGTTATAAGGAAGGTGATGATGGGCAGTCGGTAATATTTGATGGGAAGATGGATGCTCTTCATACTTATCTGGAGATTCACATGCAGCATAATGCTTCAAAGCTTGTTGATGGGGACCAGGAGTCTCTTGCTGAATTATCGTGTGATAATCTTGATTGCTCCATTAAGCTTTATCCAGAAACAAAGGTTTTTGACATGAAATTAGGGTCCTATCGTTTATCTTCACCAAATGGCCTCCTTGCTGAGGTTGGTACTCCCATTGTCTGATGGAAAGTTCGTGGATGGTTCCTAATCCTTGTTATTTGCCCCTGGGCATTAACATGATACATACATCATTCAATCTTTCTCCATGCAGAGTGCAACTGCTTCAGAGTCTCTAATTGGTGTCTTCAGCTATAAGCCATTTGATGCTAAGGTGGACTGGAGCATGGTTGCCAAAGCTTCTCCATGTTACATGACTGTATGGTGCTAATATCTATTTCTTTAAGATGGTTCACTTATACTTGTGCCTCTTTTCTGAATAACATTTTTGGCCAGTATTTGAAGAACTCCATTGATGAGATTATCAAATTTTTCGAGAGCAATCATGCCGTTAGTCAGGCTATTGCGCTGGAAACAGCTACTGCTGTTCAGGTATTTTCCCATTTATGCATTTCTCTAGATTATTTGGCTTTGAGTGATAAGCTTGCCAATTTGGCACTTTCACTGCCGGATTCGAGGAATTTTCATAGTTCAGTATCGATCTGGAAGGTGTATGAAGCCATAAGTAGTCAATAAGTAGGAGCGCAAAGTTGGTCAACTCTCTGTAGCAAACAAGGGGTTTGAAGTTCAGGAAAGAAATTTGATTTTCTTTGAAGTAATGCATCTTTTAAATAGCACAAGCATGCTTATAATTCTTGGATGCATGGATAACTGATGAAATTTTATATGGCTCATAATTTGTTTGCAGTACAAGAACTTGCATAGTTATACATTCTTGTTTCTGGTTTATTCAGTTGGGTTGTGCAAATATGCTGCTTATATGTTTGAATAAAAATATGGATCTGAGATTTCTTAGTTTCAGATGCTTGCAAATTGGTAAGAGAAAAAGTAAATTTTAGTTTCTTCTTTCACTACAATACTGCCATGGACTTTTGAGATAGTTTCAGCCTGAACAAGTGTTTGCAGTAATTTTGTATTTGTTTTAAGGGCTTATTTGGCATTGCTGCTGTGGATAGCTGATTTTGGATAAAAAACTAGGAAGAATTCTCATGGGCTAATCAGTAACTGATTCTTGCAGTATTATTTTTGTGGGCCTAAAATTTGAATTTTTTTTCCAAAATCATTCTCAAGTCCACAAAAAATCATTATGCAGAAAGATACATCCATCTGGTCAACAAAATTACTCCTAATTTTGTTCCAAAATTTGCTATTAGCTATAGAAATGTCAACAGATCGTTGGTAGTTAGGGCTTAGAATGATTCTTTCCATGAGTCGTAGAACCCTTTGCGAGGTTTTCCTGGTTCAAATCCTGGCATGATAGGATTTTGTAACAGAAAATGAAGTTATTTGTTTTATTTTATTGTTGTTATTGTTATTGACTAGTTTGGTACTAAGGCTTAGTTGTCGCTGTGTGTTGTTGTTGTTGTTGTTATTTTTTGCACGGGGAAACAGAGGGAACAGAAAGAAGAAAAGGGGGGGGGGTGGTTGAGAGGGAGGAAAAGCAGGTTTCTTTCTATTGACACTTTGGTGAGTTTCTTTTATTTCTTTGTTATCTAGATGACAATAGATGAAGTAAAGCGCACTGCTCAGCAACAAATGAACAGAGCACTGAAGGATCAGTCAAGGTTTGTTTTTATTTTCTATTTTATTGTGGTGACCATGCTTGACTCTTTGATCAAAGCATTATATACATCTGGATAACTCATATATTGCACTCTTTGGATTCTTATAATTTTTTGTTTATGCAGTCTCAAAGCGTGTTTTAGCTAATACTGTAACCATTTTGAGGATGTTACTGTGTTTTTTTTTTTTTTTTTTTTTTTTTTTGCACCTCTTTTGGATTCTTTATTAATTTTTGTTTTATTGCACTCTCAAAGCGGTTTAGCAATACTGTAACCATTTTTGAGGATTGTTACTGTGGTTGTTTTTTTTTTTTTTTTTTTTTTTTTTTTTTTTTTTTTTTTTTTTTCCTTTTGTGTACTTTCTTGCAAGGTGGGTACTTTGTTCACCAATTTTTATTTCTCTGATTTCTCTATTAATGGTTTTTTATTGGGAGGAAACTGATTTCTTTTTTCTGCGTATATATGATCTTCATGTGTTGTTTTTATGAGTGTCTTTGAAGTTATTTCGCAAAAATGCTATATTGCTAGCGTTTTGATTTTTCACTGAAGTCGGAAGATCATAGCGATTTCGGATTTGGAAAGCTAATAGCAGATGCTATAGGGTTACAGTTGTATTATCATCGGAATATTTTATTTCGATAGTAACAATGTGTGAATGGTCTCTGAATCTATTGTCAGATGCCCACTTTCGGTTTCCTAGGCAGATAGTTGCCTTATTTTACTGATTTAAAATGACATTTTGCATTGATGTTCTTGATAGGTTTCTTTTGGACTTGGATATTGCGGCACCAAAGATTACAATTCCTACTGAGTTTTGTCCTAACAACATCCATTCAACCAAACTTCTGCTGGACTTGGGAAACCTGGTGATTCGCTCACAGGTTAATGTACAAACTTGATCTTGATATTTTGGAATAAAATGTGAAACTTGGTATGAATTTTCAAATGTTTGCAGGATGAAAAGAGACCATCTGCGGAGCAAGATATGTATTTGCAATTTGATTTGGTTCTGAGTGATGTCTCTGCTTTTTTGGTTGATGGTGATTATGACTGGAGACAAGCCTCTTTGGACGAGCATGCTGATTCTGGCCAGTCAAGCAGTATTAGCTTTTTACCTGTTATTGATAAGTGTGGGGTAATCTTAAGGCTTCAACAGGTAAAGTATGAATACTTTGACCTTAAGTTTTGACTTATTATTGGCCTGTATGTGCATGTTGACCTACACTAGTTTTTTATGTTTGGTGTGCATGAGGATATGCATATTTGCGATATTCCATGACTTCTTGAGTCCCGGAAGCTGATTTTATCTCATTTTCATATTCAGATCCGATTAGAAAACCCATCCTACCCTTCAACAAGACTCTCTGTGCGGTTACCATCATTAGGGTTTCACTTTTCTCCTGCACGGTATCATCGATTGATGCAAGTGGCAAAGATCTTTCAGGACAAGGATGTTGAGAATTCAAATCTTGTTTGCCCTTGGAATCAAGCGGACTTTGAGGGATGGTTACATTTGCTTATTCGAAAGGTTATCTCTCTTTCTCTCTCTCTATTTTTGGTGGTTTAATGTCAAGAACAAGAGCTTTTTAACAACCATAGTTTTTTTTTTTTTTTTTTTTTTTTTTTTTTTTAGTTTTTTTTTTTTTTTTTTTTTTTTTTTTTTTCATTTTTTTTTTTTTTTTTTTTTTTTTTTTTTTTTTCATTTTAGCTTTTGACTTTTCATCATATGTTTGATATCAGGGCATGGCAAATAGGGAAGCTGTATGGCAGCATCGATATCTTTGCTTGGTTGGGCCATTTCTTTACGTACTGGAAAACCCTGGTTCTAAATCCTATAAGCAGTATATCAGGTTCAGAAAGCAGCCCAACTTTTTAATTCTAACTTTTGGCAGATAAATATACTCGTCGACAGATATCTCGATATGGATTTTAAAAAATGAGACATAATGTCAAATAGGAGAAGCTATTGATAAAAGTATCTAGTTTAGTTTTCATGCTATTGAAATTGTTATATTCTGGTTTTGGTTGATTTGGTGTTGTTCTCTAAATAAAGCGTTGGATTATGCTTGAAATATTATTTTGTTTTATTATTAAATCAGCACCAAGTGACCATTCAGAAAAGATGAACAATGAGCACTGATAAGAGGCAACATTCTGATTGTCTTTGCCATCTTGCATATTATACAAAATATTTATAACAAACTACGAGCTTGGACCTACATATTCCATATTCATTAAAAGGTCTTTGGGTATTTATTAAATTAACCAGAATGTTGTAAGTTCATCTTCAAAGTCAACAAACAATGATGTAAATTCTAAGATTTTTGTTGCTAAGGTTAGTATTTCATGTTATTTACTAGAGCTGGATGGAAAATCAAAAGTGTGTATTTCAGATGTATATTGCATTTTGTTGCTTTTAGTTGCAAGTGATATGGTTGTTTTTTAAAGATTTTCATATTATTTATCAACTTGCTGCAGCTTACGAGGAAAGCATCTACGTCAACTTCCAGAGGAATTGGTTGGTGGTGTGCAACATGTATTGGCTATCTGTGATTCTGGACATCCCATTAACAAGGTTGTGATTGTTATCTTTGTAGTTCAATAGCCTTTTATTTAACCATTCATCTCTGAAGTACTTCCTTGAACATCACCTAATATTAATGGTCATTTCACTTGTAATAGGTTATAGAAGATGCGAATGCACTAATACTACTATGTGATTCTGATGATTCACGGAGAAATTGGCAAAGCCGTTTGCAGGGTGCCATTTATCGTGCTTCGGTAAATCCTTTGTTTTGTTTAATTTACCATTCTTGTTTTATTTAATTAGTATTCTAACAATTAAAAACATTCTGCAGTCTGTCAATATTCTTAAACAATGGAATAGTATAAAGGTTTAAAAGGGTATATTTCTTTTAATTTTCGCTTTTACTATCCCCTAGTTTTGTGGGCCCCAAGAATTGTGTCTTGACTCACCAAAATCAGATTTGATACATAAAAAATAAATTCCAAATTAGGAAATTCCTCTTGGATTGAATAATGGATTTTGACCTAATACTTAACTAGAAATATGAACCAAATATATCAAGGTGAAAGATTGAACTCCAGAAAGATTTATTACTTCGATAAATTCGCAAGGAAGTTCAATGAAGAACTGAAGTGAATTTGTCTCTCTTGAATCTTGATTGATGAAAATGCATAAACTGTTATCCGACTTACAATACTGAAAATTAAGTATTTATGGGCTAAGAAACCCTCAAAACTAAATGAAACATAAAGCCAATTCAAACAGGTTTAGTTATGTTAATTAAAACATATAACTAAGAAAAAGGCTCAAGGCCCACGTGTTTGGATCGTGTTAATTGGCCTTGGATCTTCTTTCAAGCCCATCTCTTCACTTGGCATGTTAACATCAGCCCCAAATATTTTCTTGTCCAATCCATGCAAGACTTCCTGGATCTTCTTAGTCTTAACCCTTATAATGGGTCTACTTGGGAACTTTTAGATCCTCATGATGACTATGTGCTTGCTGATTTCCATCACATGACACACATGCAATTAGATTAATGGAGAGTTATTTAATTCTCTCTAGCATAGGATCAGATTGGAACGAATATTGTGTCATCTCTCCCAGCTAATATAAGTGCTCTCTTTTTATTTTTAAAACCTTGTTAAAATACGCATCCAATTTTTGCAGTTTTGAATTCTCACTATAAATTACGAAAAAATCAAGGTGAATGCTATTATAAATTATCAATAAATTTATAAGGATTATGTTTCATTGGTTGCACGAAGGTGTTGTGCAACTCCTTTTCAAGTATAGAATTGACTTGATATGCAATTCTTTCAATGGACATTGGCCTTTCTGTAATTCCACTAGAGCTACAACATAGTTATCTTTATTTAAGAAACCATAAAAACTAAATAAAACATAAGGCTCGATTCAAATAAGCTCAGTTATGCTAATTAACTAGCCTTGGATCATGTTAACTAGCCTTGGATGTTCTTTCAAGTCCATCTGTTCAATTGGCATGCCATTATCAGCCCCAAATATCTCCTTGACCAATTCATGCAAGGCTTCTTTTATCTTCTTAGACTGTAGTCCTTGTGATGGGTCCATTGGGGAATTTGTAGATCCTCACGATCATCATGTGCTTATTGATTTGCATCACATGACATACATCACCTAGTGTTTTTTTGTTACTTTTCTTTTTTTTTTTTTGGCATAATATGTACTCTATGTTAAAAGGTTAACTAATATTGCTTTTATTTATTATTATTTTTTTATAATTAGGACTCTTAAAGTCTTCTTAGTTTTGTTGGTGTGTTTTCTGGCGGTTTTTCGGACTCTTAAATTGTTTTTTTATTCTTTTATTGCATTCTCTTCCTTTCTTGATAATTGTGTGTTCTCTTCAGTGTTTGCTAATTTAATTGCCAATTTGAAATTCTTGTTTAACCAACATAAGATCAATGATCATTGAGGTAGTTTAATCGGAAAGTAAATCAATCAGTGATTGGACGTGTGCCTAACAACATTGTCAAATTGATATCTAAAAGATGAAAATGAATTTATAACGTAGCCAGGAAGATGATTACTGAGCAATTTTTTTTTAATCAACTTTTTAATTATGAATTTACAAGGAACTATAAATGCTTCAAAGTTTCCAAAGCAAAGACGCTCTAAGATAGTTTTCGAACCACAAAATATTTCTATGCCTCTACCCTTTATCGTTGAATTCATGTGGTTTGTAGTGAAACATTTCTATGGTAGAAACAAAGATCTTAACCATTCATTTCCACATAGGGTTTTGCACCTATTGCCGCTCTTTCTGAAACTTCATCAGATGCGGATGACTCAGAAATGGAGGTTAATGACAATGTTGATGCAAGTCATTTATTAAGGATGGAGAACATATTCTTGACAGGAGTGCTTGATGAGCTAAAGATATGTTTCAATTACAATCATCAGGTAGAGCCTTCATTCGCAGATATGTTTTGTCTTTCCTTTTTGATAGAACTAGCTACAATCTGATAAGCATGCTGCTTTTTCTAGCATGACCTGAATTTTGTAAAGGTACTTCTTGCTGAGGAGAGTCCTTTGTTTGAGTTTCGAGCAATAGGTGGCCAGGTATTAAAAATATTGAATTATGGTAAAGTTCAATGGTCCATTTATGTTCTCTCCCTTACAGAATTTAAGTTTTATCCAGGTTGAACTTTCAATTAGAGAAAATGACATGTTCATTGGAACTGTTCTGAAATCTTTGGAGATTGAAGATTTAGTTTGCTGCAGTGGTATTTCTCGGCCTTCTTTCCTGGCAAGGTCATTCATTCGAAGTGCAGATGAGAACTCATCCCTTGAGGAAGCTGGAAGTCACAGTTTTGACAATGATAATGTAACTCCTAGTGATGGCGAAGACAAATTTTATGAGGCATCAGAAGATATAGTTGACTTTGAGTATCTGACTCCCCGGAATGCACTTCCATTTGATGCATCATTGAAGCCTCCCAGTTTTAGTCGTCTTGCTGGTTTACTACCTTCGGATACTGTTCAAAACAATATGGAGGGTGTTGAACTAACTGACACGTTGGAAAGTTTTGTGAAAGCACAGATAGTTATTTATGACCATAACTCTCCTCTATACAACAACATTGATATGCAGGTGGATACTTTTCTGTTTTTAAGTTTCTGCCCTAATTCTTTGTAGTTAGTAGACTTACAAATTTTTTAAAATGGTCATCAGGTATCAGTTACGCTCGCTACATTGTCATTTTTTTGCCGCAGACCTACAATTCTTGCCATCATGGAATTTATCAATGCTATTAACATTGAGGATGGAAATATTGAATCTGCCAATGATGGTTTTTCGGCAGCACTGATTAAACATGAAATATCTAGTGAAGATGTGGTTGATGATCAATATATGAGAACCATTGAGGAGCCTGTTGTCAAGGGTTTGCTTGGGAAGGGAAAATCCAGAACTATTTTCAATTTAATGTTGAATATGGCTCGTGCTCAGATTTTGTTGATGAATGAAAACGAAACAAAGCTAGCTTCTTTATCCCAAGATAATTTACATACGGATATCAAGGTTTACTTAAATTTTTTCCTCTTCCCCTTCAATCTTAATGTTAAGTTTTTTGTTAGATGGGTACTATTTGTCTATGATGTTTTTTTTTTTTTTGGTAAGGTCTTTCCAAGCTCATTTAGCATAAAGGCAGCTTTGGGAAATCTAAGAATAAGTGACGAGAGTCTTCCTGACAGCCACTCATACTTCTGGATTTGTGATATGCGAAATCCTGGGGGCAGCTCATTTGTGGAGGTATTTACTATTCCTTCTTATGTTTCCTTCTCTGCACCAAGGAATCTACTCCGAAAAATGGGCTTCTTCGTTATTTTCATAGATTCCCACAGCCTGATATTGCTTTCAGCTGAATTTGAAAATTCTATACTGTCTTTAATCCTTTTAAGTGAATCTACGGTTATCTTTGTATTTTGGATTACAAACCTTAACTTGTAATTATGCAGCTGGTTTTTACCTCATTCAGTGTTGAGGATGATGACTATGATGGTTATGAATATAGCCTTTTTGGGCAGCTTTCAGAAGTGCGGATTGTATATTTGAACCGATTTGTGCAGGAGGTAAATTAATTTTATTTGTTTTTAGCATTTCGGTGCAGTTTATTCATTTTTCTTGTGTTTTCCTTTTTTTTTTTTGTAGGTTGTTAATTACTTTATGGGTCTTGTTCCCAATAATTCAAAGGGTGTTGTTAAGTTAAAAGATAAAGTCACAAATTCTGAGAAATCATTTACAACCAGTGAAATTGAAGGATCACCTGCACTGAAGTTGGATCTTTCACTTAGGAAGCCGATAATTTTGATGCCTAGGAGAACAGACAGTCCCGAGTAAGTTTTCATTTAGGCTTAAGAAAGCTATCGACTTTTTTACTATGGCTATATCTTATATAATTCAGTTCTTTGAATTTCTAACAGTTACTTGAAGCTTGATGTGGTTCACATAACTGTACAAAACACCTTCCATTGGTTTAATGGCGGTAAAAGTGACATGAATGCTGTCCATCTGGAAATATTAATGATTAAGGTGAGAATGGCAGGCTAGAGTTGTCATGCAGCCTTATTTGTTAAGTGGATCATCCAATTGAAAAATTGATGGTTAGCTTGATCTGTTTTGATCGGTTATATATCAAATAATCAGAAAAAATGCATTTAGCTTTTAAAGTGCTTGTAATGCACAGAATTGATTACTGGGTACATAGTCTTTTATCCTATGGACCTGCCTATTCATTTATTTCTTAAGAGTTGTAGGTTGAGGACATCAATTTAAATGTTGGGACGGAAACAGAATTAGGTGAAAGCATAATTCAAGATGTCAAGGGGGTTTCTATTTCCATTCGGAGGTCACTCCGGGACTTGTTGCATCAAATACCCAGTATAGCAGCTGCAGTCAAGGTATTGCATTTCAAAGTTAATCTAATCTCCATCAAAAGTTTTTTTTCCCCATCTCATAATTTCTTCTTCAATTTTTTCCATTATTTGAATTTATGGAGTGATACGTAAGTGCTCACTTGCATCTGACACTGTGCTTCATCAGATAGAAGAGTTAACAGCAGCTTTGTCAAATAGGGAGTACCAGATTATTTCTGAATGTGCACTGTCCAATATTTCTGAGACTCCGCATATTGTACCCCCACTGAACCATGGTTCTGGGACATTTTCTGTTGATATGGTAGAACCCGTCACCTCTGAGGATTCAGTTGGTGTTGAATCTATAGGTCAGAGTTCTGGGGAAGCATGGATTTCAATGGAAGTTTCTGTTCTTATCAATCTAGTTGAGTTGAGATTACATGCAGGGGTTACGAAGGATGCATCTTTGGCCACAATTCAGGTAGCATGTCGATTATTGACATTTATTCATTTCAAAGTTTGAGATAAAGTTAATCTTTCTCTTGCTTCTCAATGTTAGTTGTGGCTTCAACTCATGATGGCATAGTGAAGCAAGCATCTTTTGTTAACTTTGCTTTTCTGGTGCCTTATGCATCCATTGGATGCATGAGCAATCAACTATAATGGTTCGGTTTTTTGATAATTATAATTATATAAAATTATTATTATAATTACTTAATTAATATGTATTTTCAATATTTTTATTACCCACACATTGACCCATTGATTTGCCAGTTAAAGGGTTAACCATTAATTTCACCCCCGACTTTATAACTAATTACAATTTTACTCTAATTTGACCTTTGTGCTAGAGACACCCCAATTTTCAAGTTTAGTAGCAAATTGCACCCTAAAACCAATTTAAAATTAGAATTTAGAATTAAAAATTATAATAAAGGGGTCCCACAATCCAAATTCAATCACATTTCGTATTTTGCCTCCTCTCCCTCCCACTGTCTTTCCAATTCTATCTCCATGTACTCCATTCCTTTAATGGAGCAACAAAAGATAAAAAACAAGAAATCAAAAATCAATCTAAAAATATATCCATAAATTTGTTGGGTTTCAGCGTTTAAAGATCATTCTTACTTGGCTTTTTATCTCTCTTCTTCTTCTTCTTTTTTTTTTTTTATAGGAATCCTCCTTTGCTTTTGCTTTTACTCATGATGACTAAGTTGATAGCTTATTCAGTTCATACTCATCACTCACCAACCCAGGAAAACAAAAAAATTACAAAATCTTCATGGTAATTGCATGTTTTGACAAAACTAAAAAAATCCATCTTTTAACACTTTCGCAACAATGTAGAAACTCCCATAATCTTCATGATGAAAATTTCAAGACTGCTGATATGGCTGGAAAAAATTTTTTTTTCCACAGAATAATAATCACTAAGATTACATATCATTAGAGAATTGTTGTTATGCCCATATAGAGATTAATGTATAATCTGCTTATAATTTTACAATCCAACTTGTATTATTTATTATTATTATTTTTTTTTGTAATCCTCCATTTATATATTTATATACAAATCTTCTCAACCTTTATATATTTAATATAATTGATGAAATTTTGCTAAATTTATGAAAAGATAGGAAAATTAGGGTCCATAAAGGAAGGAACCTATCTTTTGGTGGGGTCGTATGGGGATTTCTCAAGAAAAGTTTGAAGCTAGCATGAGAACTTCAATGGAAGGCAAGAAGCAGATTAGTAGAGAAACAAAAGATAGGGAGAGAGGAATACGCAGGAAAATGAAAGAGAAAGAAGGGCGAGGTGGGAAAGATTATTGAATTTAGACTATGTAGCCCATTTTTTATAATATTTTAATACTAATATAAATCATTAATTGCTTTTTTGGTGCAATTGCAACTAAAGGTGAAAATTAGGGTGCTTATGGAACAAAGGTCAAATTAGAGTGAAAATACAACTATTCATAAAGTTGGTGGTGAAATAGTATATTAAGCCCTGATTAAACCAGTGATCTATCCATCCGATTCTTTGGTTGGGTCAATGTCTGGATGGGTTTAATAACATTGTTGAATATAGTCTTGCTTAAATCCAGATAATTACAGACATTTTGTGCTCCGTGATTTTGGATGTCACAGGAATTATACCGGAAATCATCATAGATTTATCATCTGCCATGGTAAATTCTTGAATAAAAAATCAACACAAGCACCAAAAATACCAAAATACAAATTCACAGGCTAAGTCTTTTAAATAGATCTCAATTTCAACAACATATATATTAGTTGATAGTAAAAATACCAAAGTTGGACCTTCAAGTTGATATTAATAGTCAACAGACCACAAAAGGCATCATAGAATGAGAGGTGATGTTAGAGAAGAGAATCAGTGGTGGCTAATGAGTCGGAGCAGAAACAAAGAAGTGACACATGGGAGCCACTCGCTGAAATCCGATGACTGGATCTTGGGATTATGATTGGTTAGCAATTGGAGATCTTCTTGAGGTGGGCGGTGAGAGAAAACTATTGCCCTAGATAGATGACCTAAATTTTCAGCAGTTATTGACTTGAAATTTTAAAGAAAATTTTAAACACTAAAATTTTACACTCTCTTGCTCTGATATCATGTTAAAGAGATAAAATATTTCACGAATCAATTGATACAAATACATATACAAGTAATCTCTACTAAATAGGAATGCATGAATTATCATATTGTTAAAATTTCTTAAAATGACATGTGTGTTCATAGAAGATTGGACAAGATTACAAATGACTGTATTTGACAAAAAGTTGTAGCACAAGTTGCAAATAAAATGAAAGGAGGACATCTAGATAGTTTGGTCGTGTCTTATGTAGATCCCCATGTTATAAGTGGATATATTGATGGTAAAGGGTATTATATGGGATAAAGGTAGACCTAGAACCATATAGAGAGTTGTCCTAAAAGATCTGCTAGTTCTTGATGTTAGTGCAGATTGAATTATGAATTTAGTGGCATGGAAATAAATGTTTCATGTAACCAAGGTAACTAGCTTGATATTAGTGCTTGATTGTTATTGTATATATAAATGTTTGGTCAGCAGGGAAATATTTTATACAACATATTTCATATGTTGTTTATATTTTATTTATAAATTAGGACTAAAAGTTAATATTTAGAAATAAAGCTCAATTTGCCTCTCAACTTGTTTGTGATATTCAATTTGCTAAAAAATCTTTTTTTTTTTTTGTCAATTACAACCCAACTTTGCATGAAATGAGCAAAATACCTCAGTTTTTATAGAAAAACAATAAAATATTATTTTCATATTTTTAATGTACAAAAACTAAAATATTTGAAAAACTATAAGATTTTTACTCGAGTTTATTTATTAATTAAATTAAACTCTATTGAGAAAATTTGCCAACACATTATTTATCAAGTTTTTATTAATTAAATTGAATTCTATTTGAAAAACAATAATTAACAAGAAAACTCTCCTAAACGTTATTAGAACATTTTTATTAATTAAAAAAACTATAAAGAAAACTTGTACCACAAAAATTAAATTCTTTTCTATGAATTAAAAATATGGAAAATATTATTTATTATTTTTAAATAGTGTATAGGCGAGGTTTTTTTTTTCAAATTTTTTTTTTAAATTTTTTTGAATTTAAAAAAAATTTTAAATAGTTTTTATCAATTAAAAATTATCATTTTAATATTTTTACCAAAAATTGTGGCATTTTACTTATTTTATGCAAAGTTGGATTGGTTATTGACAAAAAAAGGTGGTTTCGAGCATATTCAATATCTCAAACAAGTTGAGGGGGGCAAATTGAGCTTTATTCCTAATATTTATGATAAAGGATTAACGAACGAAGCTGCCTCTGAGCCTCACTGATATATTAATTTCAGAATCTATAAGACTTTCAACCTTTTTTTTTATTATAATTTTAATATTTTATTGTTTGTAGAACAACAGACATTCATAGCATCCTAAAAGGCTAAAATATATCAAGTTGTGGTGATTTATCCATAAAAGACAAGTTATCAATTTTTTTTATTGTTATTAAGTTCTATAACATAATTAGTATTGGTAGTATCATGATTGTCTAATTACAAAAGAAATCAAATTCAATGCAATTGCAATTTGCTATATTTTATTCAGGTTCTACTTTAAAATCTTTTCCATTGCTTCCGCGGATCTAATTTTCTTTTTATTTTTACTATGTTTTAATTGAGTACTAATCATATTTTTACAACTTCAGCTTGATTGCCAAATTTCTTTTTACAGCTTTGAATTATAAGCATCCATGTTGGAGTAAACATCATGTTTCATGATATTTTTGGGCCGTTCATTTAGTAGCGAATTTTTATTTGTTGTTTCTGCTTGGAAATGGAGGAAAATTAGAACATATGAAATGGAAAGGTTTGTGGTTATTGGTTGGAAATTTCAGAACCTTCTTGCTGGTTTCTCATTAGATTGAAGTTTCTATCAAGCACATAATTTACGACTAGACTTTTGCACACTATGCCTGTCGAACTATTCTTGGAAGTTAGAGGAGGATCCCATTTCTTAAGAGTCAAGATATTTTCTATTACTCTTCAAAAAAAGTTGTTCTCTATTTGGAGCACCCTTATGTATTTCTTTGTTTCAAAATTCATTCTCCATTGCTTGTACATTGTGAAGTGGCTTTGCAATTTATTATCTTTTTAACAATTCTGAGGAGCAGCGAGTATATCCTGAATCTTTAGAGACTTTTGTTTGTTTTGAATGTAGAGGTTTTGGCTGCAGGAAAGATGCCAAAATTCTTTGGAGATGTACTATATATAGAGGAGAGCGAGTATATCCTGAAATTCTTTAGAGGACTTTTGTTTGTTTGAAATGTAGAGGTTTTTGGCTGCAGGAAGATTGCCAAAATTCTTTGGAGATGTACTAATTATATATATATATAATATATATATAATATAAATATATATAATGGCTGTAATATGGGTTGTTCTTTGCATTAGAGGAGAAATGCAAGTTATCTTCAAAAATCAAAAATGGACATATATAATGCTGTAATATGGTGTCTTTGCATAGAGAGAAATGCAAGTATCTTCAAAATCAAAATGACCCTTTTGTTTGTTGTGGAAAAAGGTGGCTTTTTTACCTTCTATGTAGGGAAATACGCTTTAGGTTGTTCAGAGCTTTTGGAAAGTTTTCCAACTTGATTGGAGGGCATTACTTTCAGCTTGTTTATAAATGTTATTCTTTGTAGTAATTACCCATGGTTTACTATCTTTTTTTATCAATTAAGTTTCTTTTTTTACCATTTATTAAAAGAAAATTTATTTCTATTCTTATAATGTTGGTTCTGAAATGTGTAATCACATGGTCAAGTTTCACTTGGTTTATGATGAAAGAATGTAGTGATTAAATATTTTGGCCTGTTGCCATGCAGGTTGCAGGTGCATGGCTTCTCTACAAGTCTAACAACTTCGGAGAAGGTTTCCTCTCTGCAACACTTAAGGGCTTTACTGTGATTGATGATCGAGAGGGAACCAAAGACGAATTTCGTTTGGCAATAGGAAAGCCTGAGAATATTGGTTATGGTATCCATCACTCTCCAACTGATGGAAATCAGCATATGACTGATACAAATTTTAAAGATAGCAAGACAGATGCAACTCCTACAATGCTTATACTTGATGCGAAATTTGGTCAACACTCAACGCTTATGTCTCTCTGTCTTCAGAGGCCACAACTGCTTGTTGCACTTGATTTTCTTCTTGCTTTTGTTGAGTTTTTTGTTCCTACAGTTGGTAATATGCTGTCAAATGAGGAAAATAAGGATCCGATGCTAGCGGTTGATTCAATTATTTTGGATGAGTCAATTTTTAGGCAACCCTCTGCTGAAATAACACTCTCTCCACTGAAACCATTAATTGTGGATAATGAAAGATTCGACCATTTCATTTATGACGGTCGAGGTGGAATGTTGCATTTAAAAGATAGAGAAGGACATAATCTTTGTGGTCCAAGCAAGGAAGCTATTATATATGTTGGAAGTGGAAAAAAATTGCAGTTCAAAAATGTTGTCATCAAGGTAATGCTTTATTCTTTCATATTCTTAATCTAGTAGGAATTTAGAAATCATGTCCTCATCCCAATTACTGATCAGTAGTGAAAATTTTGTTTCTTTAGAATGGGAAATATTTGGATTCTTGTATTTTATTGGGAAGCAATAGCAGCTATTCTGCTACAAGGGATGATCAGGTTTATCTGGAGGAAGAGTGTGAGGCTTCTGACTTGGAACACTCAAGAGAGAACATTGCTGATTTACAGAATCTAAATACTTCTGACAGATCCACAGAATTTATCATCGAGTTTCAGGTCAAGCATAACTTTCATTCATCTTTTTATAGTTCCTTTTCCAAGTATTTTTGTCTTTTTGAAACTTAAATAATTTTCAGGTCAAGCATTGCTTTTATTCATCTTTCTATAGTTGTTTTTCCAGCTATTTTTGTCTTTTTGAAACTTAAATAATTTTCAGGTCAAGCATTGCTTTTATTCATCTTTCTATAGTTGTTTTTCCAGCTATTTTTGTCTTTTTGAAACTTAAATAATTTCTTTCTATAGTTGTTTTTCCAGCTATTTTTGTCTTTTTGAAACTTAAATAATTTTGAACTGGTTCGCTTGATGGTAATTGTTGTCTAATATTGATTTGGTCGATAGAATGAATGAAGATTTCCGTTTGAAGTAGGCTCCCTTTGAAATTAGTAGGGCTCGAGTATGGGACACATTATCTGACACTGTGGAGCTCAACTTGGTAAAGGCTTACTTTTAACCATTAGTTGGGTTTAACAAGCCAAGCATGAGCCTAATTTTAGAACTCGTAACTTACTGAGGCTAATCTTTAGCTAAGTGAAACTTGGTTCTTTGGGGATACAGAAACAACTCACTTGTAGCCTGATATTCAAGCTTGTGACTAGCTCATTTTATGCTTGTTGATAGTTTGGTTTTGACTTTTAGCGTCTTAGTACATTTATTACAAAATAGCTGTTCGTGAAACGACTCTTGAAATTTCAGAAGAGTCAGAGAAAATATCAGGCTAGTTAAGGTTGTTTGGGGGTGACCAATCATTTGGTTTGGTTCGAAGCAAACCAAATTAGTCTAAATAGTTTTCTATGATGGAAACCGAATGGAATTATTGGTTCAATTGGTTCATTTGGTTTTGCGAGAACAAATGCTGTGCTAGAAAGCAATGAGTAATAGCTTGCCCCTCTTCTAATACTAGTTTTTTTGGACGTATATTGCATATTATTTGTACTCATTGTACATAGTCGTTATTCAATTTCTACTAATTTTCTGTTTATAATATATATTATAAACATTGTATATTGTTAAAAACCTGAGAGCATAATGATATTTTAATCTCAAATTCAAGCTAGGGTGAGAATTAGTAGTTTAAATTGAAAAATCGAACTATCTTTTGACTTATACAATAGTTCTTAAAATGTTCTTAGTTTGGTATCGAGTTAACAATGAGCTATTGCTATTGCAAGTGTACCTGTAAAGTAGTAAAAGCTAACTTAAAAATTATAATAAAGTGGTCTCGAACAAAATAATAAAACTCCATGAAGCAATCTTCTTTTTTTCCAAATTTTAATAAATCAAAGGGTGCAAATAAAAAATCTTAAAATTAATCTTTAGGATCGAAAATATTAATATTTAAATAAAAATAGAGTTTTCATTATTTTTTCAATCTTATTCTTTTTCTTCAGGTTGATCTTTTGTTTTTTATATATCTTTGTCTTCAAAAAATCAACATAGCAATCAAGCATCTATCTATAATATAATTAAAACAAAAAATACAATAAAAGGAGTTCAATAATGTAAAATATTATTCTATGTGTCTAGATAAAAGGAAAGATTATTATAAAAAAAATTCAAAAATTTATAAATTTCAATAATTTTTACATCTTTAAAACCGCAGTTATAGCCTTTTGTTTTGGCATCACCATTTTCATAAACCTTTTTACTTCAATTTTTGCAAGATTTATACAAGGTAGTACTTTTATTTAGAATAGTTGAATTCTCCCTTGAAACAAGATTCAACATCTTAAATACTAAATATGAATACTTAATTAATATTATTACAAATAAAGACATTGTTGATAAAACTTTAATTAAATGTACATAATTTAATTAAATCTTATTTAAAGTACTTACTTGATACATTATATCAATAATTTTGATTTAACCATTATTGTGCTTATTAAATTAGTTTCAAGTTGTAGACTACCAGTGAGACAAAAAAAAAAAAAAAAAAAAATTTTTTTTAAAATTTTTGATTTAACCATTATTGTGCTTATTAAAATTAGTGTTCAAGTTGTAGACTACCAGTGAGAACAAAAAAAAAAAAAAAAAAAAAAATAACAAATTAAAATAAAATTGTATCAATTTAACCGAAAAACTGCACACAATAATATAATAAACCATGGTGAGGGTTACATAAGGGTTTGAATTTTTAATTTCCTATTAAATAATTAAAAAATACATGATTATTTGATGTGAAAAATATTATAAAACATAAATAAAAAAATAAATTTTCAAGTTGTTACCCATGTTGTCCATGGTTTTCATATACACAAAAAAAAAAAAAAAAAAAAATACAAAATTTAAAATAAAATGTATCAATTTACCGAAAACTGCACACAATAATATAATAAACATTGGTGAGGGTTTACATAAGGGTTTGATTTTTAATTTCCTATAAAAATAATTAAATACATTGATTATGATGTGAAAATATATAAAACATAAATAAAAAATAAATTTTCAAGGTTGTACCCATGTGTCCATGGTTTTCATATACACTTACCCATCCGATGATGTCAAACGTTTTAAAAGCCACAGCAAAGCTTAGACATTGATACCTTATGGTGTTACGAAAATGATATGTAACTATTTCAAGGAAATATAAAGCAAATTCATTACTCGAATGTGGGGGTGGGGAATAATAAAAGAAAAGAATGCACAAATTAAATGTAATGAAAATGGGTACTAAAACAATCTACAGTTTCTTTCATATATGTTGGCAACTTGCTCCTTGGTATAACATAAGGACATCATTATTCACATCAAATAGCATTAAAAATTATGGACAGAGGACGTCTTAACTGGCTAGGCCTCCTTTTCCCACATAAATACTGAGTTTTTTTTTTTAATAATTAGTATTACTAATCAAGTTTAAATATTTGTAGTAAAGTTAATTGAGTTCGTTTTTATTTTACAAAAAATATTAGAATTCTTAATTGAATTCAGATACTAGTTTTTTGTTGTCATAATAATAAATTACCAAGGATATTCTTGTTTTTTTCCTAACTCAATTAAAAAATGTCTTTTTTTTGTTCTTTTTTTTTTAAATTTCAAGATTCCTAATTGAGCCTTTTTTTTTCCTAATTGAAAGAGAGTAGCTTGGATGTCACAGTTAAGTTACTGCACGGCTACGGCCTCTTTGCAAAAGAATGGGAAGGCTGCATATATCAACCTTCCTTAGAGCTTACTAATGTGGGATGCTTCTAGTTACATCTTTTTAGGATTCTTGATTGACTTTAAATATTCCTAATTAGTAATTATTAATTTTTAAAATTTTGTCCTTTATTGTCATAATAATAAGTTGTTATGGGTATTTTTGCTTATACAATTTTTACCCCCTCCCTGTCCTACATATACATATATACTCATTGGCAAGTATTCTCACTGAATCATTTTTTTAAATATTATTTTCAATGGAAATACTCCCACTAACTCACTGTCCTCGCAAAAGATGGATTTTCCTTGTGAAAGATGGGAAGTAGTGATAGAAACAAAAACAAAAACAAATTCCAAAACTCATTCCACTATTCCAATGTCATTTCAAATGGAAATATAAAGAATTTAAACAGCCATTCAATTTTAATCTTAGTGCCTTAGTTTCCATATTTGTAATAAACAAAATAAACATAAAGTCATTAACAAATTCAAACTGATGCCCATTTTGATTCTTTTTCTTTCTCACCTTTTCTTATTAACCAAACAATCGGTGAGCTATGGAAAATTAAAACCAACAAGAAATAAATGGAAATACTAAAATAAACAACTGACTAGGAGCCTTTGAAGCCATTTATAGTTCATCCTGAAATTCTAATGACATTGTGGTCTAGAGTGGATGAGAACGTACTATGATAACATGGGTGGCTTTTCTAATCTATTTTCTTTGATTTGGATTCATTTGTTGAAGATTTTAGAAATTCGACTATAGTGGTTTAGTTAGATTACTTGGATTATCAGTTTGTCCTTGGTTGCTCCTTTGGGTTGTTGTGTGGTCCAACAATTGAGAAATTCACAGAGGCTTCTTTTGTTTTACTGTTGGGGAGAATGGAGCAGTTGTCTAATTGATTGGGTCAAAGGTTGTATTTATAAGTTTGAAGCAGGTGTGGGGTATTTGGTGATTGAGAACATTATTTTAGTATAGAAATAGACTTGATAATTGGAACTGTTTAGACCCAGATTGCTCATGGTGATTATTAGAAGTAGGTTTTGCTTGAATAATGTGTGTGGGTTGCAAAGGCTAGAATCAATGTCACTTGTGCTAAATGGAAATTAATTTCTCTGGTGTTTTCCTCCTTTACATATTTGTCAGTTGTTAAGTTGGTGATAGTTCTTGTATCCGCCTTGAGGGGATCTGTGGGCATGGGCTTTCCTTGTCTTTGTTCTGTACTTTCTTCCATTCTCTATAATGCACTTGTTCCTAGTTTATATGTTTCGTGGTAAGATAATTTTCTCTTGTAACTTTATTTTTCAAGGAAGCATATTGTTGACCACAATGCCTGAGCTTCTTTGTACTGAAGTTTCTCATTTCCTTTCACTTTGAGGTTTAGCTTAAAACAAGTAAAGGACATCCTTCATACAACCTTTTTGGCATAAATTGGCCATTTTTTTAGCCTTGATTCAATTCCTATTGCTACTTTTTTATGCTATGCTAAATGTTTCTCTAATTTAGTTGTCCTTGATAGGATCGATATTAATTAACTTGTTATGGGTTTTGGAGATACTGAATTATGTTGATTTGTTTTAAGGAATGGATAGACATTGGTATGTGATTTTGCTTTGCTTTCCAGCCTAGGATATGTGGGTCAAACTTCTTGCTGTGGGCGTGCTATGATTTTCCCCCACATAGTTGGTAAGAATCCTTGCTGGTTGAATATAGAGGTTTGGGATGAGAAAGGATGCAAGAAATCTTTGATGCTCTGTGAATTATGGAGAAATGTGGTGTGCTCTGTTGGAGTCAAATGTGATAACTTCAAAGATTTGTCATTAATAAGTAATTTGCTTTGTTTTAGTTATGATGTTCTCTTTGTGATGTGTTTAACGAGGTGCTTTATCTTATATGTAGTGGGTCATTGTTTCAGTATAGGCTTCTCTTTTATCACTTTTTTATTTCCAGGCAGATTTTGTTTTATTGTTGTGTCTGTTGTTATTTCTCTCCTAATAAGATTTCTTCTTAGAAAAAAATTCTGTATTTCACATGTATATGGCTGTTGTCTCACTGTGAAATTATGCAGTTCGTAGTAGGGCTGTACAAGTTCGATTCCGGTACGGTTCTTATGCAGAACTGGAACCGAACCAAAAATTCGATGCTTTCATCTTAGGAACCGGAACTGAAACCGAAAGACTAAAGAACCGGAAACTAACTGAACCAAAATTTCAGTATAGTTCTTAAATTTTTCAGTTTCTGTTTATGTGGATTTGGTTCTAGGTTCGGATTCAGTTTCCCTATTGAAAATTATTATATTTTTAAAACACATTACAAAGTTCCTTTATATAAAAATATTCTAATATCAAAATAAAATTACAATATGCTAATTAAAAAAAAAAAAATCATATCATGCTAAGATATACATAAAAAAATAATGATCAATAATGAAGTTTTTATTTTTATTCATTATAAGAAGAAGCCCACATCATCTTTCAAATTCTAAGCAATCTACAAAGTAATAACATGAACATTACAAATATCAACAAATCATAAGTAACAATTGAATAATGAGGTTTTATTTCTATTGTCAACAAAAAGAATTTAAGTTCAACGAAATATCCAAAGTGATGGTACCTTCATTGTCACGCGATAAATATGTCAGTAAATTAAGACTTTTTAAAGATAAAAATAATTTAAAAAAACACTTTTTATTTAAATTATAGATATAGTAAAACACCGTATAAACATTTATGAATTACATATTGTTAAAATATTATATACAGTAAGAGATGACGAGAATCATTAGATATTAATTTTTTATGCTGTGTAAATAATTTTTATTTATACTCCATTTGTATTATTCATTATAGAGTATCAACTAATAAAGATTTTATTTTCAAATAATAAAATTTAATGTCTTCTACAAATAATATAATATATTGAAATATTAAAGAAAAAATATATGGACAAAACAGTATTTTGGTACGGTTTCGGTGCGGTTTCATTATGGTTCTTTATAAGAACCGGAACCAGAACCAGAACCAAAATAATAAATTGCATTCGGTTCGGTACAGTTCGGCTCCTACTATTTCGGTTCTGGTTCGGTTCAGTACGGTTTCTCGATTCGGTTCTGATCCCCCAGGAACCATGCATAGCCCTACTTCGCAGTGTTATCTACATTGGTCAAGCTGTTTAGTTTGCTTTTAACAAGTGTGTAGTAAATTGTTTTGAAAACTATGGTATTCTTGGTACATATCAATGCAGATATGACAGTTCATATATTGGGCCTAGTACACATGAAAGTGGCATTCTAGTCTCATTTGCACTTAGATTTGACCAAATATTTTAGTGCAAGTTGTTCAAATAGATGTGGCACAGAGAATGAGATTCTTTAAGAAAAACAAACTTAAAGTGCGAGGAACTGAACATTTCTTCCTTAATTTGATGTGGTGTTTGTCTGATCTAGTTTGGACATTCTAAATCATGTGTTTTCATTTTGTTTTTCTTTCCCAAAGTGAAATCTCATCAGTTTGATTTTCTCTTATATCAATTTTCTTCGGTTTTAAGTAGTAGGAATCTTTGCTAATTTTGGAGTTGCTAAAAACTATTAGTTTGTTGTATCTGTTTGTTTATTTCATGTTTATTTCATGTCTATCATGTTTATTTCACTTGTTTATTTCCTTTTTGTTTTCTTATTTTGATGCCATCATATTGATGCCATCATATGCATGAAAAACTTCTTAAGAGAATCTTTTCTTTTACTTCCTATTCCCATTTTTTTGGAAGTTTACTTATTGCCCAGCCTTTTTTATTTTTCGGCATTTTTGTGACTGATATTTTTTGCAGGCTATTGGTCCAGAGCTTACTTTCTATAACACATCAAAAAATGTGGGGATGTCTCCAGTTCTCTCTAACAAACTTTTACATGCACAGTTGGACGCATTTGCCAGGTTTGATTGTAGTTGTGACTTTTTCATTACACTATTCTAAAGTCTTCACAAAGTTGATGCACTGACATATTATGTCACTGGAATATAATCAAAAGGTAACTTAGCACAATGATGTTACAATGATGCCTATATTAGTTTTTGTTTTATTGTCCATCTGTTTAAGGATTTGAGTAAGTCTTTTATGATGTCGATTATATGTTCATATTTTTCTCAAATTGTTTATCTTTGGCTTTGTTGACTCATATGATCTAGTATATCATTGTATAGCCTATTCAGGAAACAATGTTGTTCCTACCTTATTTATGTTTCTTTCTATTTTTGTGTGTAAATAATATGTATAATCTCATGAAGTAATACAGAAAAATACAAAGAATTTTCTCCCCATATTCAAAGAATTTTCTCCCCATATTCTCTGAAATTCAACTGGGTTTCAGATAAAGTAGTTAGGCTACATTTGGTAGGATGTAATGAATGTGATAATTGTTTTAATCCTATGTGGGAATAAATAAATGTAATTTAATCTGATAAGAATTTTTTTTTCCATTTATTTACTTTATATTTGCAGCAATGGTTTTGGGGGTGGGAGTTGGCTAATTGCATGGCAAGGATGGTGTTGGTGGAAGTAAATTAAGTGATGGAACAAATACAGTAATTATGCTTGCATAAATCTTTTGAACATAATTAGTGTTAATCTAAAATGATGATAGTTACATATTGTGAGCTTCGGTCAATCAATGCTAAAATGTTAGTACTAACCAATTAGTTAGCTAGCTTGTTACATTTATATGCCTTTTGTGGATTTGGTATTTAGTCGATGTGAGATTCTTAACACTCCCCCTCAAGTGCAACTGAGATTAGACTTCCGGTTGACACTTGAAACTTGAAATCTTCCCCCTGAGATTGAATTGGGCCTGTTTTGCCCTTGAAATTGAATGGGCCTCGTTGGGACTGGACATCCAGATGAGAGCTCTAATTGAAACGCAGCGGCAACACTGATGAACTGAGGAATAACTGAACGGGGTCGGACTTGCTCTGATACCATATTACAAATGAAAGGGTAGAAATGAATTGGGTAAGAGGTTGGAACCCATGAGGTGAAAATATGTGATGTGGGCTTACTTTGGCTTGGCCAACTAATGCTAAAATGTTAGTACTAACCAATTAGCTAACTAGCTTGCCACCCTTATATCCGTTTTGTAGATTTGGTATTTCGTTGATGTGGAATTCTTAACAACAATTATTTTTCTTTGTATGACCAGTTAACTTAATAGGTCATGTGATGTTGTTCGGATCAGGGTCACCAAATTCGCTCATCATACAGTGGGACTGCAAATTGGGCCATGCATCTAAGAAAGCGGTTCCAAAACGGTTTGGTACCCATTCTAGTTTGGTGAAAGAAATGTTCCGTTATCGTGATGCTTTTCATGCTAGGAAAGTAAAGAAAAAGAAGAAGAAATTAAGAAAGAGGATAAGAAGGAAAAAAAAAAAAAAAGGAAATAAGTAGAAGAAAAAGAAGAAAATAAAAATGTTGGACAAGAAGAAGAAATGAAGAGCTACATGAGGACATTTTCCATAGTCTAGATCTAAAGTCTTGTAGTTGTAATGTAGAGAGAATAAATGAAATAGGTTTGGGAACTGGGATTAATTGAGGTGGGACAGGTGTCTTATTTAATCTTAACTTAATACTTCATATTATTTATAATTGGATGGGATTAAAGGAGATCGGACCATGGGTATGTGTAATCAGGGGGATGTTTTAATTTTATCCATGATATTATATTTAAGAATTTTAAACCAAGGCGTCCCAAATAAAAATTCTAAATGTATTTGAACCCAAGATAGCGACCCAAAGCAGGATCCCTTTCCCAATTGCGTTTTGTGTACTCGTACTACATTCTGCGACCTGACCGTACTGTGGACTTGGTAACCTTGGTCCCGATTATGTTATATCTATCCTGCCATAGGTAGCTTGGGCTTTCTGTGCATCTTAGGTTTATTTCTTAATAATGATGATATTAAGAACTGATTTGCAGGAAAGGAACTGTGCATGACAATGATGTCATCTATAATCCTCTCTGTGCATTAGTGGGTGTGTGAGTGAAATTAAATGGCTGAAAGAAGGTGTCTGTTTTAAGTTAATTTTCACTCTCTACTGAAATCTTGTTCTTTCGTATAAAAAGAGAAAAGAATTGGCATCATTGCAACTTCTTTTCTCTGGAATTCTATGATGCGGGTCAATTTTACATACTTCTTGGTTGTATCCATTTCTATTGTCTTCTCTAAACGTTTGTGGATTGTTTTTGTTTTGGACTTAAAAATTTGAGTACGGTGATGTCATATTGACTTGAACTTGCGTTCTTGGTGCCTGTGCACTCTAGTATGGAATTCATATGACCAACAATATAGGATATAAAAGTAATTGCATGTAATTCCGTTCACTAGCCTTGTAGGGAATGTATACCTTGAAATTAGGAGAAGAACTGTTTGTGTTCGAAGCTGAATGCTTGATTATTCCCTCAAGCTCTTGGGGATTAAATAATATGAAGAATGATACAAGTAAAGAAAGAAATCAATACAATCTCTTAATTACAGCCCTAATCTCAGCATCTAATTACAATGGGAATCACAACAAATCATAGCAAATGATAACATATGCAATATGCATTAGCCTCGTAGGGAATGTAAACGTGAACAATTCTTAATTGTTGTTTAGTACTTCTTTATGATTGTTCAGCCTTCAAAAACTGTATTGTGTATTGAAGAAAATTTAAGCAGTGTGTGCTGCTCTTCCTCCCCAATCTGCTTCATGTTTCCTGCTTGTAACTCCGTGTTTTGAAGTATTGAAGGGTGCATTTTTAGAAGTGGGAAATATATTTACCATTTGTGTAGTAATGCCACTTGATGTGCTTGCTGCTGACAGGTTTGTCTTGAAGGGTGATACAATTGAAATGACTGCAAAGACACTTGGTTTGATGATGGAGAGTAATGGAATCAGGATTTTGGAGCCTTTTGACACCTCGGTCAATTATTCAAATGCTTCTGGGAAGACCAATATACACTTATCTGTTTCAAATTTATTTATGAACTTTACATTCAGTGTCTTGAGGCTGTTCTTAGCTGTTGAAGAGGACATTTTGGCATTTCTGAGGATGACCTCAAAGCAGATAACAGTACCCTGTTCCGAGTTTGATAAAGTTGGAACAATAAGAAGTATGCAATATGCTTGCTTCTTCCATCTTCTGTATCTGTGATAGAAGGATAAGAGCATGTGTTTGGTCTTGAGGTGGTGATTTATTTTCTAATGTTGTGCTTTACAGATACATATAATGACCAAATCTATGCCTTTTGGAGACCTCGTGCACCACCTGGTTTTGCTGTTCTCGGCGACTGTCTGACTCCAATGTTAGTAAAAACTATTATCAATACTCTGTCAAAGTTCACTTTGTGTATTCTTTGGTTTGATTGTCATATAACTGCTTTCCATATGACAGAGACAAGCCGCCTACAAAAGGAGTTGTTGCTGTGAATATGAACTTTACAAGAGTGAAAAGACCCATATCTTTCAAACTGATTTGGCCACCATTAGCTTGTAAGGAAGCTGCTGATCAGGTTGTAACCCATTCCAACTTTTCAGCAAATGGCCACAATGAAGGGGATGATTGCTGTTCTATTTGGTTTCCCCAAGCACCGAAAGGTTATGTTGCACTGGGCTGTGTGGTCTCTGCAGGAAGAACACAGCCACCTCTATCTTCTGCTTTTTGCATTTTGGCTTCTCTTGTTTCACCCTGTTCCCTGAGGGATTGTATTTCTATCTTCTCTAACAATTTGTAAGTGGAATTTTCATAAATTGTTCTCTGTTGTGAGTGAATTTAGTACACGTTAGAGATGTATGCATGCACAAACACGTGGATGGACACACATCATCATGCACAGAGGCAGGTGCACACAGAATGAACCATTTCTTTTGACAGGATTAGTTACTGACTTTTGTACTTTGTTTTGAAACTCAGATATCCATCAACTTTGGCCTTTTGGCGTGTGGAAAATTCTTTTGGTACATTCTTGCCGGCAGATCCAGCAAACCTATCCTCAATAGGTGGAGCTTATGAATTGCGCCACATAAAATTTGGTCTTCCAGAATTTTCTCCAAAAGCATCCAAAAGTTCAGATGTACAGAATTTTTCTTCTGGTGATTCTGATGCCCTGCAATCAAAAAAATCAGCATCTGTAAACTCTGGTCGACGTTTTGAAGCTGTTGCTAGTTTTCAATTGATATGGTGGAATCGGACTTCAAGCTCAAGGAAGAAACTATCCATATGGCGTCCAGTTGTCCCTCAAGGGATGGTATATTTCGGTGATATTGCTGTTAAAGGGTACATAATGCTTTACCATGATTCTCTTGTTATCTAATAGATTCATTTCTTTATTTTAAACTAGAGAAGTTCAACTCTTGATTATTGTTTGGAAGTTAGGTATGAGCCTCCAAATACCTGCGTTGTCCTTCATGATACTGGAGATGAAGAGCTTTTCAAAGCTCCTTTGGATTACCAACTTGTTGGACATATTAAGAAAAAGAGGGGGTTGGAAAGCATTTCTTTCTGGATGCCTCAAGCCCCTCCTGGCTTTGTTTCACTTGGCTGTGTTGCGTGTAAGGGTTCACCAAAACAACATGACTTCAGTAAGTTGAGGTGCATGCGTAGTGATATGGTTGCGGGGGATCAGTTCCTAGAGGAAAGTGCATGGGATACATCTGAGTTCAACTTAACAACAGAAGCATTTAGCATATGGACAGTTGGTAATGAGTTGGGGACCTTTATCGTCCGAAGTGGTCTCAAACGACCTCCAAGACGGTTTGCTTTAAAGTTGGCAGATCCTAACATACCAAGTGGTTCAGATGATACTGTCATTGATGCAGAAATTGGAACTTTATCTGCAGCCATTTTTGATGATTATGGTGGCTTGGTGAGAGCTTTCCTTCCTTGTAGCTTTATTTGATTTTATTGCCAGTATTTTGACCTTATCTGTTGTTTTAGTTGAAGTGGTCGACTGAATTTGATATTCTGATCTATGATTCGCCATAAATCATGCATATAGACAAGGCTTATTTAGGAAAATTTTCCTATTGCAAAAGCTAATTAATTATCTTTTGTTTCTGTTTTATTTTCATGCTTTTGAAGTCCAGGAAATGGGGAAATTAGCTAGAGTAATGTTAGAATGGTGTATTAATTTTTAACTAAGATCTCTCCTCAATTAAAGTTCTAGGGACTACCCCAGACAATATTGTTTAAATGTTGCAAGGTGAATTTTGGAGTTGAAATGCAAGAGGAGTTGTCATAAGCTGTGATAAAGTGCATATGATTTTCGAATTTAGAGTCTTGTATAGTCTGATAGATAACTGACTGATGCATGCATCTACCAAAAAATAAAATGTTCTTAGAACAAAAATTAATTGGTATATGTTGTTCTCCCCAGTTGATTGTTCTTTTCAACACAGAGCTGCTAAGCTACCTAAGAATCTCTGTCTATTTGCAGTCCTTTCCTTTAGTATATGTGGAAATGGCAATGTCAGATTTATGAAACTGGTCATTGGGTCAATTCATGGGAAAACTCGGTGGTGATTGCTTATTTGTACGGTTACATGCTGAGTGAGCCAATATCTGGTTGTTAGTTAAACAATTAGTTCTGAAGTCTTTGGGTATTCTTATATGTTAGGAACATGTATAGATGACTTTGGCATCGTAACACAATGCTCAGTGAAATGAAAAGGATCTTTTTAGATTTGGCTGCCTTTGCCTTTTATAATCTTCTTTCTGTCTATGTTTGGTTGGTCTTTTACAATTTACAATGTTAATTGACATAGCTTCTTGGATCTGAAACCCCAAACTTTAATTTAACAAGTGAAGGATTTTATGAAAAATGGTGCCTTGCATCTTTACAACAGATTCTAGATAATGTTTAATAACAGGGAAGAAAAGGCAAGAAAAGTTTTTGTGGAAGAATTTGCAGTTGATGCAAATGTTCTAGTTAGTAATGGAAAGACCTACTAGAGTCCATCTTCTATAATCTGGACTGTAGAACTGATAGAGTAAGGAAATAACCAAACAGAAGATCAAAGAATTCTAGAATGGATATGAGAAGAAATCTGTATTTCAATTCAGAACCAAGTGTTTCAGATTACAATCTTCAGATATTGAAAATGAAGAAGAAGAGAAATAGAAACTCGAACAAAAGGGAATTCTTGAATCCTAAGAAATTTCTATAGAGTTCAGAGATAAGTGTGTTTTTTCAAAGATTACAATCTTCAGATTATGAAAAATCGAAGAAGAGAGGGAGTATGAAACTCGACTCAAAAATGGGAAGTTTCTTGTAATTCCTAAGAACAAGCCAATGAGGCTTCAGGAGTCTCTTCCATTAATACGATTGAAATAGGGAAATAAATTGTTTTTTTTTATTTTTCAGATGCGCCTCCTTTGCCTCGTTGCTGTACATATCACGATCACGGCCGTTGTGGTTGTATACTGAATTTGGACAGGTGTCCCAAATCTATTTGGTGTGGCTGATGTGTCTTCCTTAAAATATTCACGATCACCCCCTTGGTTGTAACTGAATTTGGACAGGTGTCCCAATCATTGGTGTGGCTGATGTGTCTTCCTTAATTCCCAAGGCAGCAATCCCCATGTTGATCTTGGGCCCTTCGTTGGACCTTCTGGAATGTACCCTTAACGGCTTAGGCTGAGGTCCATCAAAAACCCATAGGTTTCTGTTTTGCCTAAGCATTTTGATTACTTGATCTTTCTGTAATATTTTTTCAGGAAGTTTGAGTTGAATGTATAATTGGTTTTGAAATATCTCGATCACTAATTCAGAAAACAGGTAGACACATTGTTGTTTGAAGAGTTATTTTCATTCCTTATGTAAAAATTGTTTACAAGGCTATTTATACATAGGGCTAGATCCACAAGCAAATACCTAAACTACCCTTTATAATGAAGAATAAATTACCAACTATACACAACTACACAGGACAATATATGATTTCAACTATTATTGTATTGATTTATCTCCTGGACTTTGCAGATGGTTCCATTATTCAATGTATCTTTAAGTGGCATAGGATTCAATTTGCATGGAAGAACTGATTACTTGAATTCCGCTGTCAACTTCTCTCTAGCTGCGAGATCGTATAATGACAAGTACGAATCATGGGAGCCACTTATTGAACCAGTTGATGGATTTGTGAGGTAAATTATTATTTTAGGCATCATATCTTCTTTGGAAGTTTGTTTGTGAAAAATGGCAGGATATAGACATAGATTTGATTTTCTTATGCATCATCTGGCTAGAGGAAGGTGACTTGCTTAAATAATAGCAAACATGGTCTAAACTTTGAAGAGGAAAAATTGTTAAAACCATTAAAAAGGCCTAATTGTTTCGAGATTTTGCTATTGACCCTTAATAGAAACTTGTATTCTATTGAATCCCCTAGCGCGTTGATTTGATTCTACTTCTGCCTTTTTTTTGGTTTTTTTTTGGGGGGGAGGGGAAGACGGGGTGGGTTGTTTTGTGTTACAGTACTGAATACATTTTAAACAGCAGGAAACAAATTATATTGAAAGTCCACAAAGCAAAATGAAGGCCCTATGACACTGAAAAAAAAAAAAAAAAAAAAAAAAAAGATCCGAATTCCTTTAAAAAAAAAAAAAAAAAAAAAAGATCGAATTCCTTCAGTGAATTTGCACTATCACCCTAGTTTGAAAACTTGGTAGCATTTTGCACCCATTTGGTTAAAATTCAAAAAAATTATTTTAGTGCTGAATGAAATGGAAAAAAAAAAATTTAATAATTTTCATTTCTTCCCCAGCAAAGGCTTTGTTTTGTTTATACTTCTTAAAGAAAGTCACTAATCTTAGAGATTAGTGAAATATTATTTAATAAGTTGAATAAAAGATAATATTTTTAATGATCTCGAGGAGGGGGAAAAGAAGGAAGAAGAGAAAGGGGTGAGGAGAGGGGAGGGAAAGGAAAAGAATTAAATTGTAATATGATTTACAATAAGATATTTTATTTTCCGATCCAAATAGATACAATTGCAGGCATATTAATCTGTGTATACATTTTTGTCCTTTACGATCTGCAATGAGTTCATCCTTAAAGGTTGTAGCATTACTTTGTGCAACATGCACTGTCACTGCAAGCAAAGAAATACATGAAAGGTGCTTCTTTTTTGTTAAGGCCCATACATTTTGCAAGTAAAATGTGCCGTAAACTTGCTCGTCAAATCCATTACTTATAATAACAATGAAGGCATTTATTCACTAGAACCACACAAGAAAGTGATTTGGGAATACATGATTCCGGTGTTTGGTTGACATATGAACATTATATTAATGGAAAAAATAGATTCAAGAATTTATGGATATGGCATTTACTTTCTCATTTTAAGAGGTAAAGAAGTTACCTTCCCATGATATTGAAAAATTATGGATATTATTACCCTTAATTTTAAAATATCTCATTGGTTGATTTTCATCATTTTTTGTACTTCTGTCATTTTTTTTCCACAATTCATTTAATTTATTATTATTTTATATTTATTGTTCTTTTTTAATAATACTTATATTTCATGTTAATAGGTGGACTTGAAATCTTAGAGAGGAAGAATTATTTCTCTATTTTCTATTATTTAATGACATCAATACACCCTATTTATACACAAGAATACAAAAGTTTCAATAGGAAACCAAATCTGATTCTAATTAGGGGATGTAAACTCCTAAATAGTCTATACACAAGTCAACACATAGACAACCATATGAGACACAACACTCCCCTTCAAGTTGGTGCATAGATACTGCACATGCCCAACTTGCAAACCAAATTATGGAACTGTTTGCTATTAAGCCCTTTAGTAAGAACATCTGCAATCTGATTATCGGAAGTCACATGAGTAAGAGCTTCAAAACACCTTGGATGATTTTCTCTTTTATAAAATGTCTATCAATCTTTATGTGCTTTGTCCGATCATGCTGAACTGGATTTTGAGCAATGCTAATGGCAACCTTGTTATCACAAAACAAGGTCGAATCTTCTCCTTTCGACATTCGCAATTCTTCCATTATCTTCCTTAACTATAACAGTTCACAGACCCCTTGAGCCATAGCAGTTCACAGACCCCTTGAGCCATAGCTCTATATTCCGCTTCTGCACTCGAACGGGCCACTACAGTCTGCTTTTTACTTCTCCAAGTAACTAAGTTTCCTCCAATAAAGGTACAATGACCAGAAGCTGACTTCCTATCATCTGGATCCAGTCCAATTAGCATCAGAAAAGGCTTCAATTTTTAGGTGACGATGCTTAGAGAAAAGTAGACCTCTTCCAGGCATAGACTTTAAATATCTTAAAATACGAAAGACAGCTTCAAGATGAGAACTACGTGGATCATGCAAATATTGACTAACTAGACTTACAACATATGCTATATCAGGCCTAGTACGTGAGAGATAAATCAATCTGCCTACCAATCTCTGATATTGACCCAAGTCAACCGGTTCTCCCTTTCCTTCTTGCAATTTGTGATTAACTTCAATGGGAGAATCAGCTGGTTTACAACCCAACGTGCCAGTTTCTTTTAGGATATCCAAGATATGTTTCCTTTGAGAGAGAAAGATCCATTTATCCGATCTAGCAACTTCTATACCCAGAAAATATCTCAGACCCCCTAAGTCCTTAATCTTAAACTCTTGAGCCAACAACTTCTTTAAGCATACAATCTCCTCTTCATCATCTCCAATCACGCCTAAGTCCTTAATCTTAAACTCTTGAGCCAACAACTTCTTTAAGCATACAATCTCCTCTTCATCATCTCCAATCACGACCATATCATCAACATAGACAATTAGTAAAGTGATCTTACCATTATAGTGTCTGATAAACAAGGTATGATCAACATTGCTTTGAGAATAACTGAAGGATCATGGCCTTACTGAAACTATCAAACCATGCTTTAGGTGATTGTTTCAGCCCATACAATGCTTTCTTCAATCTACAAATCTACAAATCTTACCTTACTGAAACTATCGAACCATGGTTTCTCATGCTTTAGGCCCCAGTCCAGGGTGGCTGCACAGAACAATAGGACTCTAATAGTGTTCCTCTTCGCAACTGGAGCAAATGTCTCCTGATAGTCCACTCCACAGGTCTGAGTAAATCCCTTTGCCACTATTTTGGCTTTGTACCTTTCAACTGTGCCATCTGCCCTGTGCTTTACTGTGAATACCCATTTGCATCTCACTGGTTTTTTCCCTAATGAAGGGGAAACAAGTTCTCAAGTTCTTTTCTTTGCTAAAGCTTTCATCTCTTCCACCATTGCTGGTCTCCATTTTGGATCTTGATATGCTTCTTGCCAATTTTGTGGAATAGAAACAGAAGAAACAAACAACTCAAAGGCTCTATAGGAAGGTGATAAAGAGTCATAAGAAACAAATTAGAATATAGGATGTTTGGTACAAGTTCTAACCCCTTTTCTAAGGGCAATGGGAAGATCAACATCATCAACTACAGGGTCAGGGTAAAAAAAATACTAACAGAAGGAATTGAATCAGAATTAGAGCTGGGAGTTATAGAGGACTCACACATGGATTTTCAGGAGCTGATTGCAGAGATGACGATTGACCAGGTGTATCATGCGTGATTGCATTAACCTTCTCTCTTGGACTATACCTTTTTAAATATGGCCTATCAAGTCTACCCTCTTTAGGTTCTCGCTTATCACCAGTGTTTATATTTACAAATTGTTCAGGAATAGACACGGATATAGGAGCTAAAGGAGACTCATCTTCTAACCTAATCTCCCCCTGAAGAGGAGTTTAGGAGAAATAAGGCTCAGATTCTCTTAAGGTCACATCCATACTCACAAAAAACACTTTTGGAGGAACAATGTATGAGGTACTACCCTGAAAGACAACTATAGGACTTTTGAAATTGAGTGTTCTAAGAGGCATCCTATTAATAAGATAAGTTGCAGAGAGCACTTTATCTCCCCAATAAGACTTAGGAACATTCATGGTGAGTAAAAGTGATCTAGCTACCTCAAGTAAATGCCTGTTTTTTCTTTCAGACATCCCATTTTGAGCACTAGTATTTACACAGGTAGTTTGATGTATGATTCCATTAGAGTCTAAGTAAGCTTGAAACATGCTATTCACATACTCAGTTCCATTATCAGTTCTCAAAATTTTAACCTTTGCATCAAATTGTCTACTAATCATGTTATGAAAAGACTTAAATTAAGAAAACACTTCAACTTTTGCCTTTAGCAAATAAACCCAAGTTAATCTAGTACAACAATCAATAAAGGTAACAAAACATTTATAACGGGATAATGAAACAATAGAAGTAGGACCCCATACATCAGAATGAATAGTCATTAAAGGAAATGAACTTTTATTATTATAGAAAATATAAGAACTTCTTGTATGTTTAGCAAGTCCGCAAACATCACAAACTAAAGATTCTAACTGACAATGCTCAAAAAGACTAGGATATAACATCCTTAGGACTAGAAAAGAGGGATGCCCTAATCGCCTATGCCACATAATTATTTCTTGACTAGGATTATTATGATTTTCTAATAGGGCTTGGGTTAATAGGGAGCTGAAGAACTGCAACTCTTTTCCAGGAGATATAAGCCATCATGCAATCTACCAAAAGCCAATCGTCTTCCGTGTTCTCAGATCTTGCAAAACACAATGAGTAGGAAAAGATTCAATGTTGCAATTTAGGGATTTTGTAATAGCACTAACAGATAAAAGATTTACTAGAAAATTGGGGCAATAGGTGCAAAAGAACCATCTGCAATGCGAACAGTTTCTTTGCCAAAACAAGATGAATAGGTTATGAATTTATTAGAAGAGCCTATCATATGTTTATTTGCTCCTTAATCTATAAACCATGAATCGACATCAATAGAAGTAGCAAGAAGGGTCGTACCTGATTGCACAAAATTAGAAGTAGCAGCAGAGGTGGATGAAGACTCGAACTTTGACAAAAGACGATTTAGTGATTATACCTCCACAGTAGAGAAACTCCCAACAGACGATGCTTCAAGAACTGCTAGTACTTCAGCTTGGTGTGCAATAGGTCTAGAGGAACCCATCCTTTTACCACCATGACCCCTAGTTGGTTGTCCATGCAATTTTCAACACGATTATTTAGTATCTTTTGGAGAAATCTGGGTATTTGTGCAGGTTGAGAAATATGAACTCTGGATTTCTCAGCAAAAGTAGTAGTAAGCATGACACTCTGCGGCTTTCTTCCTGTTGAGCATGGGAATATGTCTGTTGCAATGAAGGCATAGGGTCTTTTCCCAAGATTTGAATCCTTTTCAGATCATATTCAGTATTCAAACCTGCAAGAAAATCATATATGCGTCCCTTCTCAACTTTCCTCTGATATCCTACAACATCAGCTTCACATTTGGGATCATAATCTTCATAGTAATCAAGTTTCTGCCACAAACTATTCAATTCAGCATAATACTGATTAATGGTCATCTCACCTTGCTTTGTTCCTTGAACTTTGTTTCGAATTTCATAAACTTGTGCATCATTCCCATGTTGAGAATAAGTTTGGGAAACAGGCTTCCAAATTTTTTTTGCAATATCCTACATCAAATACCCACTAGAAATCTGAGGTTGCATGGAATTAATAAGCCAAGACATGACAAGAGAATTTTCAAAATCCCATTTATCAAAGGTTGAATTGTTTATTGTAGGTTGGGTTTTAGTTCCAATAAGGTACCCCTGTAGTCCTCTAGCTTTAATAAACAAGAGAAAAGACCTTGACCAAGCAAGGAAATTAGTACCATCAAGCTTTACAGGACTGATCTGCAAAGAGGGATTATCATTAGAAAAACTAGATTTAATCTCAGCGTGTTCAGCAATTTCGATAGTTTTTTTCAAATCACCCATAGTTAAAAATCAATGAAACAGGTGCAAATAGGCAGGAACAGTTCCGTTTTTGTGTGAATTAAAAGAGACAGCCAATGAAACCTCAACCAAAATTGGTTTTAACACTTGGAATAGGGTCGCCGGAGGAAAGACAGACGACCGGAAGGAATTGCGCCGAAAAAGGTCGCCGGAAAAGTGGGTCACACACCGGTGCGTGGAAGAAACGAGGAAGTTCTTAAGGCGCGTGAGTTCACGCGCTTTGCCAGGAAGTCGCAGGTTTCTGGCAGAAGACTGATCAGCGGCTGGGCTACCTTCTTAGCTGGGTGGTATCACTCCACTCTCAATCCTATACGGTTTACCGAAAAGGAACCAAATTGACCCTAATAGTTCTGATCTGATTCTGGGCTAGCTCTGATACCAACTTGAAATCTTAGAGAAAAAGAATTATTTCTCTATTTTCCATTATTTAATGACATCAATACACCCTATTTATACACAAGAATACAAGTTTTAATAGGAAACCAAATTTGATTCTAATTAGGAGACGTAAACTCCTAAATAGTTTATACACAAGTCAACGCACAGACAACCATACAAGAGACAACAGGTGGTTTATAAGAGCTTTATTAAATTAATATATAGTCAACGCACAGACAACCATACAAGAGACAAACAGGTGGTTTTAATAAGAGTTTATTAAATTAATATATATATATATTATAATATATATATATATATATATGGTATAAATTAAAGAAAAGTAAATAAACATATATATATGGTATAAATCTAAATGAAAAGTAAATAAAAGATATAAGTAGAGGATATTGTTGTAATCTATTACATTTTTTCATATATTAGCTAAACACAAATGTTACATGTTGAAAGAAATTTAATAATCAAACATGAAATTCAACATTACTAGAATTGCTTTTCTGGAAATATGTTTTCCTTTGAAAGTAAATTTAGATGGGAATATTGAATTCTCCAAACACCTCGTAAAAAGCCTCTTATAGAAGGATCTAAAAATAAAGGAACGCAGAAAGTAATGAATCTGAAACTCACGATTTTGAAACTGACACGTGCAGCTAGTTGTTGGTATTCATCTTGTCGAAGCTTACTGATCAAACAAATGCTTTGGCTTTAGTGGAAACTTTGTGTAACATTCTTGCAAGGGAATGACCTGGAACTATTAAGAGGCCAGATCCTCTATTTGGCCTAGAATAGTGTTAAGGGCATTGTTTATTTTGTCTTGAAAATATGAATATTAATGACTACTTGTGGAAAAGGAATTGGCTATATCCTGATACATATTATAATATTTTCTTAATTTTGTGATGCTACAGTTTTTCTCCTTAATTTTTCTTTGAATTTTTGTAAACATGCAATGACCTAGGTTTTTAGACTATGTAATCCTTCTGGAAAGGTTATTTTTATGTCAATTACTAATTTGTTGTCATTTGCAGATACCAATATGATATTAATGCTCCAGGGGCAACTTCACAGCTACGCTTGGTCTCAGCCAGGGATTTAAACCTAAATGTTACTGTATCTAATACTAATATGATCATTCAAGCTTATGCAAGCTGGGATAATCTTAGTCATGTCCACGAATATTACAAAAAAAGAGTAAACTAATGCTTCTGTCTCTCTGTCTCTCTCTATCTCACACACATGCACGCACACATGCGCACCCGCCCATCCATCCTGAGTGGTATGTGCTTTTGCAATTGTATATTCGTCGATATGTCTATATCAGCTGATAGTCTCTTTGATCATATAGGAAGCATTTCCTCCTACTTATGTTGGAAGACCTATAATTGACATCCATCAGAGGAGAAATTATTATATAACCCCACAAAACAAGCTTGGTCAGGACATTTTTATTCGGGCAACTGAAATTGGTGGTCTCTCAGATATAATAAAAATGCCATCTGGGGATGTGCAACCTCTGAAAGTTCCTGTTTCAAAAAATATGTTGGAGTCTCACTTAAATGGAGAGCTTTGTGCAAAAGTCAGGACAATGGTGACAGTTGTCATAGTGGATGCACAGGTATGAATTTCTTTTTTATAGTTTTCCTCTCCTATCTTTTTAAGCTCTTTTTATATTTTCCTTTCAGAAACAAAGTGCCCATAAGCTGTTCAGAAATGTAGTTAGGTTCTCTCTTAAAGTAGTCCTCAAATATCTGTTGCTTCATTATGTGAAATGCCGGTAGATTTTGGATTAGTTTGCTCTGAGCTTCTCTTCTTTTTTGTGCATTTGAATATTTCTATATTTGCTAACACACATGTTCTGGATTCCTCCCAATGCAGATGATTATATAGCTCTGCGCTCTCTTACCCCTTACATTTTTGAGACTGTTTTTGCTTGGATACTGTGTTTTCTGAGAATAGTTTGATTATTTCAGTCACCTGTTTATATACGTGATGCAGCTACCGAGAGGCAGGGGGTTGGCTTCAAATCTCTACACTGTAGCAATCCGTCTTGCATCGAATCAAGGTCTGGGTGGTGAATCTCTGTTTCATCAACAAAGTGCTCGCACAAGTGGAAGTCTCTCAAACTCTTCTTCTGAGCTTGAATTGGTCCACTGGAATGAAATCTTTTTCTTTAAAACCGATTGCCATGTAAGTAAGAAAAATTTGTTTTTATTAATAATAGTTTGTTAACTCTCTTTGTACTGTTACCCAAAAAAAAAAACTCTTTTTATACTGTTGGGATTTGAGGAGTTGCTTCAAGAAATATTACTGTGCCTGCAAATCTTTTTATCATCATATTAACATATGGATAATTGATCTCAGCAAGGATTGGCGGAGACCAATTGGATGTTTCCATAAGACCTTGTATGGCAACAGCACTGCCTAGAGCCGCTTGTATCTTTAAATTTTGAGTCATCTCCATTGCTTTCATTTAATCACATAAAACAATTTTGTATAGTTATAAGCTATGGAAGTTCATAGGCAGATTTAGCATTGGGCTTCTTGATCCCTCTTTGTCATCACAAGTACATTAATTTTCTCTTGCCTTTTGTTTTGGTTTTTCTGCAGAATTACGTTAATATTTCCATTTACTCCACTGCCATTAATTGACAGTGATGCTAAAAAGCAGAGTTGGCCTTATATGTTTTAAGTTTGTTGCTTTTGTACCATGCACGTCTCTAGAAATCTTGTTCTCAACGATCAATGATCGATGTTAAGTCGGATGCAAACACTTTAATTTAACCTCATGTCTTTTTTTTTACTCAATGAATGACTCATAGACCATGTGCATTTATTGATGGTAAATTGTTCATTGTTGGTTTTGTGTTGATCTTTGTAATGACTATACATGAGATGCCGCTGTGTAATTAATACTCTTTTTTGCTTGCAAAAGAAAATCTTGGAGGTTTGCTGTATTTACATGTGAATTTGACATAGTGCGCGTCTATCCTCTTTTGCAAGGACAGAACTTTTTTATCTCAAAATTCGATATGAGCTTTGATTTAGTGTCCTTGAAATTTCAGAAGATGCATTCTTTTCTTTTATTTCTCATTTTATATTTCCATTATCTCTTTTGGATGCTAATTTATTGCCTTCATGTTTTTATGTTCTGTTGTTTCTAACTGTAAATTTTTTCAGGATAATTACTTGTTGGAACTTATTGTGACTGACATGGGAAAAGGTATTTTTTGTATCTCATTGTTCATTGCTTGGCATATTCGTAAAATTCTTGGGCAGCAAACACACTGGTCTTGGTTTATTGAGGGAAAAAATTGTCTGTTTATTCTCCCTCCCATTACATACTTTTGGTAGGACTAGATCTGGATTACTAGATTAGTTGGTAACTTTTCTTGCATAGGCAACTTTGTTTCTTTTCTAGATCTGGATTAATGGATTACTGGGTGACTTTTTTTTAGAGGTTTATGAGAAAACTAGAAGATGTATAGTAAATGAAATTTGTAGAAGATATATATCTTTTGCAAACATTCATTGGACTTTTTGATTTTTGACTTCACGTTGGTTCCTCAGGTGATCCTGTTGGATTTTTTTCTGCACCATTGAATGAGATAGCGAGAACTATCCAAGATGACCATAATCAGTATGATTATCTGAATTACTTGAGCTGGATAGACTTGTCCTCTGCGCAACATATGGTGATGTCATCTTTCTACATCAATATTATGATGTTGGAGACTTTTCAACTTATATATTCTGTGAAATACCTATTGTAGCAACCTCTTGCAAACATTTATAGTCTTGGTTATTTGCATGCAGACTGTGAATGAAGGGGATAAACACGACAAATCATCTGGAAGAATAAGGTGTGCTGTTCTCTTGTCGCCAGGATCTGAAGTTGAGGAGAGAAATGAATTTTTCATTGGTGGCAGAAAATCTGGATTTATTCAGATCAGTCCTAGCATGCAAGGGCCTTGGACTACTGTCAGACTAAACTATGCTTCCCGTGCTGCATGTTGGAGATTAGGCAATAATGTTGTTGCCAGTGAAGTGAGTGTAAAGGACGGCAACAGATATGTCAACATAAGGTCTCTGGTTTCGGTACATAATAATACAGATTTTGTTCTTGATTTGCACCTTGTACCCAAAGCTTCTGATAGTTCAATGGAACTTGGAGGTTCACAAAATGACAGTAAAGTTCAGACGGATGAATTCTTTGAAACAGAAACCTACACGCCTACTCTTGGTTGGGTTAGTTCTTCAGTTCACTCAGGAGTTGGAGGCCACCACGAGGTAAGTTATCAATGCAATAATCTTTGTCATATCAGAGAAAATTTGAGTTAATTATCTATGTACACAATCTTATTTGTAATAGTTGTCAATTATTCAGGCTATTTTTGGAGTTGAAATACCATCAGGCTGGGAATGGATTGATGGTTGGCATCTGGATACATCGTCTGTTAAGAACCCTGAGGGTTGGGTTTATTCTCCAGATATTGAGAGCCTAAAGTGGCCTGAACCATTTGATTCTCGAAAGTTTGTGAATCATGCAAGGCAAAGGAGATGGATCAGAAATAGGAGAAAAATTTCAAGTGAAGCAAAGCATGAGATACCTGTTGGATCATTGAAACCTGGAGATACTGTACCTCTTCCCTTATCAGGCTTGACACAACCTGGAAAGTATGTCTTGCAGTTAAAACCTTCAAGTCTTAAGACTTCTGATGAATATTCCTGGAGTTCTGTGGTGAATAAGCCTGATCAAACTAAGCAAAATGGCGAGTTGAGAGGTTCTGAAATATGTGTATCAACTCTTTCAGAGTCTGAAGAACTTTTGTATTGCACCCAAGTAAGTGGTACCTCTTCAAATGGCTCTCGCAGATTGTGGTTTTGTATAAGCATACAAGCCACAGAGATTGCAAAAGACATTCGTTCTGATCCTATTCAAGATTGGACTCTTGTGGTCAAGTCCCCATTATCTATCAGCAATTTTCTTCACCTTGCAGCTGAATACTCTGTTCTTGAAATGCAAGGAAGTGGTCATTTTGTTGCATGTTCTAGGGGAATATTTTCTCCCGGAAAAACAGTGAAGATTCACACTGCCGATATAGGGAAACCTTTGTTCTTTTCTCTGCTTCCACAGAGAGGGTGGCTGCCAATACAGGTAAGGTTTTAGAAGCTAATCCAGTCTTGTTGATTTATGGATATAACACTTTATGTTGGTATAGCAGTCACTTTTGATCTTTTCTAAATTCTCCTTTTCCATTTGGCAGGAAGCTGTTCTTATATCGCATCCTAGTGGAGCTCCATCAAAATCAATAAGCTTAAGAAGTTCAGTTTCGATTTATGGATATAACACTTTATGTTGGTATAGCAGTCACTTTTGATCTTTTCTAAATTCTCCTTTTCCATTTGGCAGGAAGCTGTTCTTATATCGCATCCTAGTGGAGCTCCATCAAAATCAATAAGCTTAAGAAGTTCAGTTTCTGGAAGGTTCTGATGCATGCAATATGCCACTTTCGTTTTCAAATTTTTTTAAAAATAGATATAAGAACATATCTTTGTAGTCTAATATTCTGCTAAATCATCAAATTTGCAGGATTATTCAACTTATTCTGGAACAAAATTATGACAAGGAACAACCATTGCTAGCAAAGGTCGTTAGAGTTTATGCCCCTTATTGGTTTTCAGTTGCCAGATGCCCTCCACTTACATGTAGGCTTGTAGACCTGTCAGGGAAAAAACATACACGGAAGATAGCTTTTCCATTTGAATCCAAAAAGAGCAATGAAGTAATTTTGGAGGAAATAACTGAAGAGGAAATATATGAAGGTTATACAATTGCTTCGGCTTTGAACTTTAATCTCTTAGGTCTGTCAGTGTCAATTGCTCAAACTGGCCAGGAACAGCACTTTGGGCCTGTTACAGATCTTTCTCGCCTTGGTGACATGGTAGGCATCAGGAAAATTTACTTATCAAATTGTCATTTTTCACATGAAAAGGATATTCTTGGTAAAGCTATCTTTTGATTGTCAGGATGGATCACTGGATCTTTACGCTTACAATGCCAGTGGTAACTGTATGAGGTTATTTGTTTCCACAAAACAATGTCCTTACCAATCTGTCCCAACCAAGGTAGTGACGGAATTTAGAGACTTCAAAAAGTATTCCAAGTTGTGAGGTGTTTGACTAAAATATTGTTTTATTAGGTGATATCTGTGCGGCCATTTATGACCTTCACAAACAGACTTGGTAAAGATATATTTATCAAGTTAAACAGTCAAGATGAGCCAAAGGTTCTCCATGCATTTGATTCAAGAATTTCCTTTGTGCATCACAAAACTGAGGGGATAGATAAACTCCAGGTCAGTTGACTGAATGCATCAGCAATATTTTCAACCATGCTTATTTGGTCACTCTTCATTTTTTACTTACCTCTTTAATGATAAAATTTAGGTCCCTTTAATTTTATATTGTCCAACATATTTGAGGATCTGAATGGTTCTGTTAAGAGTCTGGGGCCTAGGAGTAATTAATCAAATTCATTAACAAAGTATTTAATAATTTGGGAGTTGGCTTACCTTTGACACAAAATGGCCTAAGTCTTTTTGGTTTGTCCTTCCTCATTATATGCCATTCTCAACTTATGTTTACCCAATGTGGGATTATCCACATACTTCAACACTCTCCCATCAAGTGGCAATTAGGCCACTTGACAAGCATACAGCACGGGTCCATCAGGGTATGACCCACACGGGAACTTCCCGTATACAGGTTCAGGTCCTAGGCCATGTTAAGAATTTGGGCCCTAAGAATAATTAATCAAATTCATTAACAAAGTATTTAATAATTTGGGTTTTAATGAATTGAGCTTACCTTTAAGACATAATGGCTTAAGCCATTTTGGTTGGTTCATCTTTCTTATTATATGTCGTTTACTCAATTCATGTTTATCCAATTTGGGATTACCTACATACTTCAACAGGTTCTTTTCCTTTCTATGTTTTTTTCGAGATGTCAGGTGCACATAATTTCACTTTTTTTTATAAAAGTCAAACTCACATTCTTGAGTTGCACATCTGGTTATGGATTCTAATGTCCCACAAATAAAAAAACATGAGTCACATGTCTTTACCTTCTAATATAATATCATAGAGCATATTGCTTAAGATTTTAATGAAGCATATCTCATAAATCTTGTTGATTGCTTGATATCTTGTGACACTTACCCATCAAGAGGTTTCAACTTGCATTATTTTTTCCAAATACAACTGAAATTTGTACCCTGAATAATGATATGATTTGAAAATTTAAAATGCTACATTAAGGCTTGCTCCTCCTGAACAATAATATTGTTTGAAACTTTAAGATGCTAGATTGCGGCATTGTTCCTTTGGACCATATTTATTTATTGTAGGAAGAAAAAAATTGAACAGGAGAGTCTTATCCTTTTAGAACCTGGGTTCTTCTGTGTAGAGATATGAGAAACAGGTTAAAGGACAAAAAGAAAGATAATAAAAAGATTCAAGAGATTTTGCTTGAATGCTAGTACTACCTCTATTCAACCAATTGAGGGAAATCTATATTATGGACTATCCAGTGTTGTTGAAGGCCAAGGCACTAAAGCCGAAAGGGTCCTGGAGGCCAAGGCACAAACTGCAGACCTAGGCATGTGCCTGGTGGATACAAGGTGCATGTTGACTGGGAAAGAAAAAAGGGAAGAAAATATACTTCCTAGTTGAATTGTAATAGGTGCTAATCACATGATGTCCAACAATATAGAGTTCAACATGTACTAACTAGACAAATATAAAATGAACTTATATACCTTTAAATTACTGTAAAGCACATACCATTTCTGTCCTATTTCAGCAACTACCTTTTAGGCATTAAAAAAGGAACACACTGTTTGAAACTCTGAAAATAAGAATTTTTGATCTATATTGAAAGGAACAAAAAAATTATTACTTAATAAAAATCCACCAAAAGATGCCATTTATAAGTACGCAAGTGTAATTTGAAATTAAATCAAAGTACAAAATGGAGCTTGCTATAAGAGATTGGAGAGAGAATTATACGTTTGATATACTCTTTCTTTGTCTATGTTATTTATTTATTTTTTTAGTAATAGTTGATAAGATAGTTCTAAAGTTTCCTTTTTCATTTTTAGTATTAGGATTCTGTCAATAATATTTAATTTCAAAATGCTTGAATCGTAACCAGAAAATGAGTCAAAACAATAGGAAAAAATTATGGGGGAAAAATACAGGCACCCCTTAGCCCACGTGTCACATGCTGCCCTAAAGTCTTCCAAGAGCGTGGAAAGATTGGACCAGAAGTGATCAAAAGTTAAAAATCTCATGACACAAGTCTTCCTAGGTGTGCCTTACTGGGTTGTGCCTTCCCTGGGTTAGGGTAGGCAGAGAGGCTGTGCCTAGGCATGCTTTTAACAACAATGGGATTGTCAAATTATATGTTCTAGAAACCATATGATGATTATTCTCCATCTACAAGTCCAGGGTTAATTTTGAAGATTGAGAATAGACTTAGATACTCTATAGTTACTTAGCATTTTAGTGAAAGTGTTTGAGGATTTGGAATTCTTGATGATTTGTATTGATGTATAAGGCCCTTTAAATAGGGAGAATACAAACAGAATATGGAAAGGAATGTATTGATCGTATAAGGCCCTTTAAAATAGGGAGAATACAAACAGAATATGGAAAAGGATTACAAGAGATTAACATATGGAAATTAAATTGTATTGTTCCTAAATCAGAGGAATGATCTGTGAGATAATCATCGGCTAAGACTCCCCCGCAGTTTGAGCTGGCGGGAGGACAAGACGCTCAGCTGGATCGAAATGACTGGAAACACTTGTCGAGATAGGCCTTTGGTGAAGATGGTCAGCATATTGAAAGCAGATGGGACATGTTGAGACCCGACCTGTGGCCTATTCGAACTTTCCTCCCGTACAAGTGTATTCCGATCTCAAATGTGTTTTGTGCGTGATGCTGGAACAGGATTGTCCAGACATATACACTGCGGAAACTTGTCACAGTATAACGACAGAGGCCTGTGAACGTTGAGAGGTGTAATTCCAAGAAGTAAATTGGCGAAGCCAGGTGGGTCTCTGCCACAGCATTGGCTACTCCTTCATATTCTGCCTCTTGCACTAGACGTGAGATAGTAGCTGCCCGTTTTGGAAAGACCATGAAATCAAATTATCACAAAACACAGTAGCCACTAGTTGATCTTCTGGAGTCTGGGCACCCCAATCTGCGTCTGAGTATGCTACCAAGGTATGTGTATTTGTCTTGCCAATTCTTATACCGTAGTCAACTGTGCCTCGTAAATATCGGATTATTCTTTTGAGAAAGGCATAGTGTGGATCCCGCGGTTCATGCATGAAGAGGCATATTTGTTGAACAGCATATGATATATCTGGGCGTGTGAATGTGAGATACTGTAATGCGCCAGCAGGACTGCAGTATAATGTTGGATCATGGAAGAGAGGTCCATCAGAAGCACTCAGTTTTGATGATAGATCGACTGGGGTGGCACACGGTTTGCAAGAGGACATTGAAGCTCTAGGAACATTGAAGCTCTGGAGATGAATATTGCTTGTGTATTAGACTGATCCAAAAATAACCCACAGATGTCCGTGTCCACTTTGATTCCCAGGAAATGATGCCACCCGGCCCAAATCTGTCAATTGCAACTCTCGTGAGAGATGCGGATAATATTCTGCAATAACTCCATAGAAAGAGGCAGTGAGCACATATCAATCAACATACCAGAAGTAAATGCAAGCTGATTTCCCTTTGGAGAAAATGAATAAGGGAATTGTCCACACACCTGCTGCGCACCCATGAGACCAGCAGATGGGCTTGCAAATCCTGGTGTACATGCCCGTGAGCCTGTTGAGCCCCAATAAAGGGCCTTTTTTTCAATTCTGCACACAAAATGAGGGTATCTTCTATTCTGTTGACAACCCGGGGGTTGACATCATAAAAACAGTTTCATTTAAATGCCCATGTAAAAACGCGTTTTTTGACATCCAACTGGTGTATTGGCCAAGAACGGGAACTGCAATGGATAACACCGTACCGTATAGTAGCGGGTTTTCACTCCACGGGACTAAAGTTCGTCACAGTCAAATGCCACCGTTTGAAGATTTGCCTTACCACCAACCGTGCTTTGTACCTTTGAAGTGACCCATCTGATTTAAAATTTTGTTGTCGAAAAAGCCACATACACCGGAATGACTGTCGGCTCAGGAGGGCGAGTGCACGATTCCATGTTCATTTCCCTGGCAAAAGCAACGAAAACTCAGCCCTGCATAGCATTAACAATGCAGGGTCAGAAAAAGCTTTTGCATAAGAGGTGGGTATTGGTGAAAACTTGAGGTGGGTCATAAGGGCATGGCGAGGCTTTGGGGCGGGTGGTCATTTGACTGAAGTAATTCTGTGCAGTTTTGATACAGCGGTGGTCTGAGTGGTTTGGGATTCAGTGTGTTGGGGTGTCGTAGCATTGGCCACTGGGTTAAGGGGCTGTTGTTTATGGCGGCGAGTGTATATTATGGGGTAAGGAGAGATTGGGCGTTTTTGGGTTTGGGTGGTGTTTGGTGTTGGGTGAGGTTGTATAAACTTAAATCCTGGTGGTGGTTGTTCATCAAGAAATGTGTATGTTTTGGGTGGAGTTGGAATGGTGTATGGGAAAATTTGTTTATCAAAGGTTACATGTCGTGATATGTGGATCTTCCCGGTTGTAGGGTCAAAGCATCGGTATCCCCTAAAATCTGGAGGGTATCCAAGGAAGATGCATCTAACGGATCTTGGGTGTAATTTGTGGGGTTGGGTTGCAGAGGTATTGGGATAACAAGCACACCCGAACGTATGTCGGGTGGCGGAGATATAAGGCAAAAGTGGGTGTGAAATAATTGAGACGTTTGGTTGGAAAGATGTTATGGAGATAGGCAGCAGTGTGAAGTGCTTCGACCCAAAACATAGGTGGTAATTCAGCATGGATGAGGAATGAGCGGATGATGTCGTTGAGACGACGAATCATGCGTTCAGCCCGACCATTTTGGGAAGATGTTTGGGGGCATGAAAAACGGAATAACAGACCATGTTGTTGGGCAAAAATTTTGAAGTTATGGTTGTCAAATTCTCCCCCCAAGCCAAGTCACATTGAAAAGTTTTGATATTGCGGTTGAATTGGGTGGCTATGAGTTTATGGAATTTAGTAAAGGTGGTGAAAGTTTCAGATTTGAACTTGAGAGGGTATACCCACACATAATTGGAAAAATTAATTGGAAAAATTAATCCAATAGCAACCATGTCGTATTTATATCCCAGATTGGTTTGGAATAGGGGAGGTCCACAAAGTCACAGTGTATTATATCAAATTGGTGGAAAAGTAAAGGAATTTGACTCATAAAAAGGTAATCGTTTGCTATTGATAAATGACGCAGAATTGGCAAAAAAATAAATGACTTGTTCTTATTACAAGGAAGACCAACTGTTTGGTTAAAACAATCTAAAATTGTGTGCCAGGGTGACCGAAGGCGATCGTCTGCCAAGGTAAAATTGGGAATGTGATTGAACAAGCTTGTGGTGGTAGGTTGGTGGCGTGACAGGATAGAGATCTCCGGTACTATTGTGGCGGGAAAGGACTGTCCTGTTTTTGAGGTCCTCAAAAGAGAAACCCAAAGGTAAAATTCCAAAGAAATATTGTTATCGCAACGTGGTAAAACGGCGGACCAGATAATTTTTAATGATATGTGGGCTGTAAAGTATGTTTGGGAGGATGTATGTACGGTTAAGGATGGGAAGGTAACCTGTTCCTGAGCCCTCAATTGGTAAATAGTGTCCGTTGCCGACTAAAAGTTTAGTGTTAACAGGAAAAGAGTCAGGGTTGTGAATCATACCTCGGTTGTCGGTGACATGACGTTCTGCCCCTGTATCCATGATCAGATTTGGATCTGTGTAGTTGAGTTGCATCGTGTTATAAACTTGGCTGAGATCGGAAGGACTTAAAGCATCATATCCAGTATGCGGTGGAGGGGGATATGGTGGTGCTGGGCCGTATGGCTGCTGTTCTAAATAAGCGGCATAATGGGCATTGGGTGTGTTTTGAATATGATTTGGTGGCCATGGAGTTTGTGTTGGGTAGGGACAAGGTGGAGTGTTCCACCAAGCCCATTTTGGGTAGGTTTGATTGGCGGACTGATGGCGGACTGAATGGGTTATAGCCCAAGGAGTCCCCGGAGAGTTTCCCTGTAGCCGCGTCCTCTGCCTCTGCCACGTCTGCCGACCACGGCCTCTATAATTGGAGTGGTAGAACTGTTTGTGAGGTCTGATTGTTTTCAGGTTGTTGAGTTCGTGGCCGCTGGGTTTGGTTTTGTCTGCGTGGTTTGGAGCGACACACGGCCAGAGGGGTTTGTTGTCGTGCAAGCCTGGCGAATGACCTCAATCATTCAAACCATGTTCGGTGCCAGGTCCCAGTCTGCGTTTTGTGAGTTAATAAGAGAAGCTATGGCGTCGAATTCTTGAGGAAGGCCACGAAACCAGTTGTAAGACCAAATCCGGGATTCTGTAACTGGTTGGTTCCGAACATCGTTCAGTTGGTCGGCGATGTCTTTGCAATTCTTTGCACGTAATCATCACGGAACTGCATGCTGAAAAGGGTGAGATTAACGAATTTTGTTTCAAGAGCTGCCGCTTTTGCTTTCTTGTTGCTAAGGAAGATTTTCTCAAGTTTCAGCCATGTTTTTCTAGCCGTAGCTTCAGTGTCAAGGATGCGGGTGAGCAGTTCATCAGACACGGTACTGTAAATCCATTGAGACACCAAGGCATCTATTTCTTTCTAGGCACTGTACGATGGATCTGTAGAGGCTGGGGGTGGCGTGTCATCAATGTGATCAAGAACACGGTATGCAATAGAATGAAACTTGAATAATTTCACCCATGATGTGTATGTAACTGTGCTACCATCTAGGGTTCTTATTTTTGATTGGATGTTAGTCAGGGGGTGGGTGTTTTAGGGTTGGAGGTCGAAGATGGGACTTCTGTTTGTGTCATGGCTATCGGCGGCAGCAGCTAAAAAAAAATATGGGAGAGAAAGGAGAGGGAGGGAATTCAGAACTGAAGCTCTGATACCATGAAAGTGTTTGAGGATTTGAGGATTTGGAATTCTTGATGATTTGTATTGATGTATAAGGCCCTTTAAATAGGGAGAATACAAACAGAATATGGAAAGGAATTACAGAGATTAATTACTGGAAATTAATTGTAATCTGTTCCTAAATCAGAGGAATGATCTGTGGAGATATCATCGGCTAAGATTTAGGTGGAGATTCTTACTTTGTTTTTTTGTTATAAGCTTGATGTTCCAACAATCTGTTAGTGGAGTTGTTGAAAGGATGCCATTCTTGCAAGTTAAAAAAGTTAAATATTGGTTAGATTGATCAAAGAAATTTATGACTCGGGCATTAGATCATTATTTTGTACTAAACCTATATAAACTTACAAATATATAAGAGCCAGAAGAATGAATGAGTTAGAGCAATAGATGTAAAGTAAGCTATCCTGTGGTTCAAATTCCAGAACCTGTGTGTATTTGAAAGAGTTCTCTTTTCTATAATTTCTTAAACAGTTAATTTAGTTGTCTCATGAAGTTTGAGTGGTTTGTTTACTTAAGATCAATGTCAGAAAGAAACAAATGAAAAAAAAAAAAAATGCGAGCCTATATTGTACAGGGTAAAAATTAGGTAGTAGCCGCAAAGATGATGGACAGTGAGAGTTTATCTTCCCAACAGAGTGTAAAAGTTTCCAACCAAGTGCAGTGAAATTAATTTTTTGATTAATTGTGGTGCTGCAAGCACTGCACTCAACTTTCTTTATTTTTTTGGAAAACATTTTTAGGTTCGTTTAGAAGATACAGAATGGTCATACCCTGTGCAAGTTTCAAAAGAGGATACCTTATTTCTAGTTTTGAAGAGATCAAATGGCACTCAAAAAATTTTGAGGGCAGAAGTACGAGGCTTTGAAGAAGGATCACGCTTTATAGTTGTGTTCCGGCTTGGGTCAACTGATGGTCCAATCAGGTAGTTATTGCAGATCTATAAATACAAGTACATACTTCGCCCTGACACAATGTGACTAACCTGTCTACCTTTTATAAACAGGATTGAGAACAGAACAATTAGAAAGAGGATAAGCATTCGCCAGTCAGGATTTGGCGATGATTCATGGATTTTATTGGAACCTCTATCAACAACAAACTTTTCTTGGGAAGATCCATATGGCCAGAAATTCATTGATTGCAAGATTGATGGTAATGGTAAAATTGGTGTTTGCAGATTTGATTTGGAAAGGACTGGGATGTCTTTTGCTGAGGACAGTGAAACAGGATTACAGTTCCATGTCACAGAAATGGGAGATATCAAGTTTGCTCGGTTTACAGATAACAAGGGTCCAACTTCAAATGGAGACAGTACATCTCTCACACCTGCTGTGTATTGGGGAAATTCTAACAGGCAGAGTGAGATGCAGAATGCCTCCTCACCTGTAGAGCTTATAGTCGAGTTGGGAGTAGTTGGGATTTCTGTTGTAGATCATAGACCAAAAGAGCTCTCTTACTTGTACTTGGAAAGAGTTTTTGTATCATATTCAACTGGCTATGATGGTGGGAGAACGAGCAGGTATTGCTTCCTATAATAAGATAGCTTTTTGAATTCGTTCAACATGAGGTGCTATACTTATATAAAACCCTTTTCATAAATGAAACTGTCTATGAAATGTAGGGGAAAGATATGCAAATATCTCTGCATTGCTTTCAACTTCCTGAAACTATGTGCCATATCTTCATCATTGCAAAATTTATCCACTAAACGGCATATTCCATTCCTTAATGGACCTTTTAGATATATTTCATCCTTAATGCTGTTGAATCATATCAAGTTTACTAATGTTGTGCCAGGTTGAAGCTCATATTGGGTTATCTGCAGCTTGACAATCAACTTCCACTAACCTTGATGCCCGTGCTGTTGGCACCTGAGCAGACCAGTGATATGCATCATCCAGTTTTTAAGATGACTATTACAAAACGCAATGAGAACACTGATGGCATCCAAGTATATCCATATGTATACATACGGGTATTGCCTCACCAGAACATCTCTTGAAGTGTAAATTATATTGTGCTTAGAAGAGCACAACACATCTGTGATCTTATGAAAATATGAAATTGTAGGTTACTGAAAAGTTATGGAGGCTTAATATCCATGAACCTATTATCTGGGCGTTTGTAGATTTCTACAACAATATCCAGCTTGACCGTGTCCCCCAAAGTTCTAGTGTCACACAAGTTGATCCAGAGATCCGTGTAGAGTAAGATTCTCATTTTCTAATGCATAACTGTGACTGCACTTATGAAGAAAATTGATTCTGTAGTATTCTTTGAAAAATTTAATGTCATCTGGGAGTTTCGCTCTTGCCTTACTGCGATTTCAACTTTTGATAATCTTGATTGCTATTGTATCTTGTTAAATGATGGTTGTTCAATGCTTGCATAAAATCTAGACATGCACCATTTATGTTTCCTTTACACTAGGGTTCTGAAATGATTCTTTGCTTTCCAAATTAGGTTAAAAATGTGAATAGTACTTCACACGGTTTTCCTCACATCTAGCTGATTCATTCAATGTCTTCCTCTCTCCATCTCTCATGCATGCAGGTTGTCAGATGTGTATATAATTCCCCAGGAAAACTAGTTAAATGTATTGGCTATTTCATGCACACTGCATTTTCTCATGTGAGGAACATTCACATAGTTGTTACTGGAGTTGGACTACTGACTTCTTACTCTTTCTTATTGTCTTTTCGTTTGCACCATGATTTCTATTCTCTTATAGTTTATATTACCTGACATTCATTCCTCCATTTGCAGTTATCATTTCACCTTGTTTTAATTGAATTGATGAGTACCCAACTTGCTCAAGTCCTTATCGATGATAATGTCTCCTTTGAGATCTGAATATCACTATGGAAAAATTAGATAGTTTCTGGAGAAAATGTTGTATTCATGTTTCCTTCATTAGAGTCCTGCTACGAAGGGCTTATTTGTTTGGGATTTAGATATGTTTTTTTCTTTCCCCTAAGAAAAGAATTCATTCTCCTTCTGGAATTCAAAGTCTGCATACGCTAAGATACTTGAGTTTTTAATGTACAGATATCTGTTCTTGTCTTTTCAGGCTAATAGATGTTTCAGAAGTAAGGCTGAAGGTATCCCTAGAGACAGCACCAACTCAGAGACCACATGGGGTTCTAGGTGTGTGGAGTCCCATTCTGTCTGCTGTTGGAAATGCATTCAAAATCCAGGTTAGCTCAATTGCTTAAAAGTAAAGTAATTGGACAGGAAACCTAGATCTGGATCTCCTTAAAAAAATATGGATCCTGCCTATGTCTGGTTCCCCTTTCTTCATCCTGTCACTATTCCCTTACCATTCCTCTGACCCTGTTAATAAAATTTGGAAGGCTAAGTTGTTGCTCAAAGTAAGAGCTTTTGTTTGGTCTACAACGTTTTCAAGGTGAATACTAATTGGTTTTCTGCAAGCATAGTGAATCTCTTTTGTCCCATTTTACATTGTGAAGGGGCTTGGCCATTGGATTATCCTTTTTGGTCTTTTTCAGTAGAGCTTGGCATTTCTGTATGCTTTAGAGGCTTTTGCTGCTTTGAAATGTTTGCTTTGTGCATGTTTCATTGTGTGTTTGAGTAATTGGTGTCTGTATTTTCAATAGCAATGTAGTCTTTTTTTTCTCTTTGCTTCTTTCTTTATGGGATTGAGCTTTGAGGAGCAGGGGCAGGCTTAGGCATTCTCCAGTGTTATTTTCAATGTAACTGGAGCTTGTTACATTTTAGATCTGTGTTGCTTTATTTTCTCCACAAATATATCAAATATTGCAACTCAAAGTTTTCTTATTTCGATGATTGCAATACTTGGAGTATTGGTGTAACATTGCATCTCAAATTTAGGTGCATTTGAGGAGGGTAATGCATCAAGACAGATTCATGCGACAAAGTTCCATTATTCCTGCCATTGGAAATCGCATTTGGAGAGATCTGATCCATAATCCTTTACATCTAATATTTTCTGTTGATGTACTTGGTATGACAAGTTCTACGTTGGCTTCTCTTAGTAAAGGATTTGCTGAACTTTCAACTGATGGACAGTTTTTGCAACTACGATCTAAGCAGGTAATATTGTTAATTTCCTGATGCAGATATGTTATTTATCTGATCTAGTTTGTAAGCAAAAAGTTGACATGGTAACAGGTGCGATCAAGGAGAATCACTGGGGTAGGTGATGGAATTATTCAAGGAACAGAAGCTCTGGCCCAAGGTGTCGCCTTTGGGGTGTCTGGAGTCGTGAAAAAACCAGTTGAGAGTGCCAGAGAAAATGGTATATTTGGATTTGCTCATGGCGTTGCACGTGCATGCTTAGGATTTATAGTACAACCAGTCAGTGGGGCATTGGATTTTGTCTCACTGACAGTTGATGGAATAGGTGCTAGTTGTTCTAAATGCTTAGAGGTTATCAGTAACAAGACCACCTCCCAGAGAATTAGAAATCCTCGGGCTATTCGTGTTGATTGTATTCTCAGGGAGTACAGTGAGAAAGATGCAGTTGGACAGGTACGTTTTCTGCTGCTTATGCGTTATCGCTTGCTTTAGAACACTGAAACATATTTTGAAAAATTAATACATCTCAGACATGTAATTGATGTTGAAATTGCTAGGAGTTGGATGTTTATCCTTGTCTCATATTTGGCAAGTCTTGACTGAATAGCATTGTCTCAACTGAAATATTCGGAAGCATCGTCTTCTCTTTATCCTGATAGTACGATTGAGACATAGAATTGTAACTTGTTCTCCTATTTGTTATGGTGTTAGAGGCTGGAAGAGTGAGTAGAATTCTTTCCCCTACAAAGAACCTGAAGTCCAAGATAAAGTCATTCAGCATTGTCAAAACTTGATATTTTAGGTTTTAGATTTTCCTGCCTTTTTCATACAATTTTAGTAATCCTTAAATGAATTAGCGTAGTTAGTTTCAGCTGGAATATCCAATTGGTCCTTTCTAGTCTTAACTTAATAATCCTAAGAAAATAAAAAAACTAACATGTGATTGAGAGATTCTGTAACTTTTATGGTGAAGAATAAATTTGGATAGGGTATTCAGTTCTCTTTCAATTGTTGGCTGCAATTCTGGGATGAAGTTATTGGAACACAATCAGAACTTAAAATTGCATGCCTAAGGATAGTCTTAATCCTATCATTTTTCACAACGAAATTTTGAATGTAATTCTTGATATAATTATTAATCTTCTCCTTTTGGTTTTCAGATGATACTTTATCTTGCAGAAGCAAGTCGACGTTTGGGCTGTACTGAAATATTTAAGGAGCCCTCCAAATTTGCTTTGTCTGATTATTTTGAAGAATATTTTTTTGTGCCTTACCAAAGAATTGTTTTAGTGACCAACAAACGAGTCATGCTGCTGCAGGTTAATAGAAACGACACATCCTTAGATATCTCAAACAATTTTCTAAATCGATTGCTTTCAAGTTTTTCTTAATGTTTATCTTTCTTTCTATTCATCATGCTTGTCTAAAAAGTTTCCTTATCCTCTGTTTAAATCTAGTGCCTGGCTCCAGACAAGATGGACAAAAAACCTTCCAAGATCATGTGGGATGTGCCATGGGAAGACCTCATGGCCCTGGAACTGGCAAAAGCAGGCTGCCGCCAACCGTCTCACTTACTTCTCCATCTGAAGAACTTTAATAGAGCAGAAAGTTTTGTTCGAGTCATAAAATGCAATGTTGAGGAAGAATCAGAGGGAAGTGAACCGCAAGCTGTTAGGATATGTTCTGTAGTACGTAGGATGTGGAAAGCATACCAATTTGACATGAAAAGCTTGAGTCTAAATCCAAAGGTTATTACTGAATATAAATTTTTTTTACTTTTACGCTTCTTTTGATATAAATGAATTGAAAATGTGGAATTCATTGACAAGGAATTCTAGATAGAATTCATATGTAAATCGTTTGTCTACTTGGCTAGTCAAACATGGGCTAGTTCATAGATCTTAAATTTTCATGTTTAGAATAAATTCAAAATTGAAAATTCTTTTGCTTTTATTTTCTAAAATAACCTTAGCATAAATAATAATAGATGGCTAAGAGGATCGATAGTTTTATCAAAACTCTTGATTATTTAAGTTTGTGAAATTCTTTTGGAAATTCTCTCTTTTTTAGTAGAATTTGATTTAGTTATTTTCAAATCCATAGAATTTAAATTTTCAATTTTTTCTTTTTAATACCAAACACAGAATTTAGATTTATAAATGAATTCCATAAAATTTTGTGGAAGCCATTTATTCCAAACAAGGGGTTAGACAAAAACTACTTTTGATTTTTCTTGGATTGTGTTTTTGATTGGTTTCTCCATATCTACTTGCTTAGGTTCCTTCGAGTCAGAGACATTTCTATTTTTCTTGGAGTGAAGCTGACGGTGGAGAACTGCCTACCCCAAGTAAAGCAATTGTCAAATCAGGAGAGCTTTCTTCATCAAGTTCTGCATCCGATGTAGGGAGATTTGTAAAACACAGTATAACCTTTTTGAAGATTTGGAGCAGTGAACGAAAATCTAAAGGTCGATGCAAATTGTGTAGGAAGCAGGTGCTTTCCAATGAATCAAGCTATGCTCAGAGTTTTTGCTTTGATTACTTTGCTAAACTGAGTCCCACATATCATTGCATGCTAATGCAACTCATGAATTCGGTTTTCAGGTTCTTGATGATGTTAAGATATGTACCATTTGGAGACCCATATGTCCGAACGGGTATGCTACTGTTTAGTTTATGTTCTTGTGAATCCTATTATCTCCATATATCATATGCACAGTCTACAATATATTATGTTTTACACCATGAGAGGCTGTTTATGTGCTCAATATGCTTTTGATACCGAAATACATTATTACATCTTTTTTCCAGGTATATCTCTATTGGAGATATAGCTCATGTTGGCAGCCATCCACCAAATGTTGCCGCCGTTTATTATAACGCGGACAGATCATTTGCCCTTCCTGTGGGTTATGACTTGGTGAGAAACCCTTCAATCAGTTTATGAAAATAATTTGCTACCGAGGAGCTGTTATTCAATGTGATTACAACGACGTTAGCCATTGAGCATAACACTAGGGATTTATGCAGGTATGGAGAAATTGTCCGGATGACTACAAAACTCCAGTGTCAATTTGGCATCCAAGAGCTCCTGAGGGATTTGTGTCTCCTGGATGTGTTGCCGTGGCAAGTTTTGAGGAGCCAGAACCCAATTTGGTACGATGCGTAGCAGAACGGCTAGTGGAGCAAACAGAATTTGAAGAGCAAAAGGTATGGTCAGCACCAGATGCATATCCATGGGCTTGTCATATTTATCAAGTGAAAAGCGATGCTCTTCACTTTGTTGCTCTAAGGCAAATAAAGGAAGAATCCGATTGGAAGCCCGTGAGGATTGTTGATGATCCTCACAGTAAAGTGGAGATCTTGGAAGCACAGGAAGAATAAGAGTAACTTACAAGTGAAATATAGATTTTCCAAAATAGTTGGGCTTTTAATTTCCTGGATGTATACAAAACAGATTACAATCATGTACAGGGTTTTATCATGTACAGGGTTTTCTTCAAACGATTATTTTTGACCAAGTAATAATATTTCTTTTCTTAAAAAGGAATATAATCAATTTCATTAAGAAACGTTAGCTAAAACAGCATGAACAAAGGATGGAATTAGAAGGGTCAAGATCCACTTCTTAAGATCCGATACAGAATAGGCATTAGTTATTAGAAGGTGAGCAACTCTATTCTCTGATCGGTTGATGAAACGTTCAGGACTCAGTTTTTTAAATAAGAGCTTACAATCTAAAATTATGCTACCAAAATAGGATTATAGACACTTTGTACGTACGATTTAGCGCTTGTACCAAAAGCAAAGAGTCACCTTGAAAAGCATTCCGTTTTATCCAGCTGATAGCTTCTCTAAACGACGCAGCCTTATCTACACAAGGATCTTGTGCCCTGGAGAGTATTTTTAATCAAATGAACTGTTTTTAGCATATTGTTTTCTTTAAGTGAGACTGTGACTATGAATTTACATCTCTCTTGCTTTTTCGTGATAAAAATTAAGCATATAATATTCTTCTTTTCGTTTTTTCTTTTTTTTATTTTTCTTTTTCTCGAATGAGACGTTTGAACTTGGCTGATTATGATTTATTGATGCTAGGGAAGGTTAAAAAAATTATCAAAACTACAGAGGGCCAATTAATAAAAAAAAAAAAATCATCAATTTATGTAGAATTGAGCTAGGGATAGGGAGTACGCTGCCCGTTCCTCCCTCTACTGCTACGCTATGTGAATGGATGATAGCCCAAAAAAGTAATTTATTCCTCCTCTTTAATTAATATTTAATTTCCAAAATATATAAAAACCTTAGTTGAAAATTAGGAGAGAAATACATAAAAGATACAATAATAGGGGGAGAGAGAAGGAGATATTAATATTTTTCATAAAATTATTTTGTTAGTTTCATTTAGAAATTTCAACAATTTGTATTTAATTTCATAAAGTTGCATTTACAATGGCTACTGTGAATATGATAAACTTCATCTTGATCGATGCACACATTTGGAGCTTTTTTTTGAAGTTAAAATTAGAAAATTTTATTATGAAATCAAGAAATCAAGTAGAACAGGAGGTGGTACAGAATTCCAAACCCCCAAGCTTGCTTCGAAATGTGTTCCAACTGCTAACGTATGTGCAGCCAAATTCGCAGACCTATAGACAAAATTACATTTTGCGACTGATATCTCATAGGGGGAGAGCGTATTGAACTGAGATATTATACATTTTTCGATGAAAATCTATTTTCGTTAGTTTCATTTAGAGAAATTTTCATACAACTGTATTCTAATTTCATAAGTTGCATTTACAAGTGGCTGACTGCTAAATACATGATAAACCTCATCATCGTTGATTCCGATGCACACATTTGGCAGCATTTTTCTTAAGTCAAACTTAAAGTGTGATAGAGTGGCTTTATTAGCGAAATTCCCAAGAAATCAAGGTAAGAACAGGAGATCCTCTCACGGTGGTACAAGTAAGATCTTCCTTGTCGTTGCTTTCGAAATGTGTGTCCAACTTGCCTAATGGTGACCAGCCACAATTCGCAGTACCCTAAGTAGGACAAAACACTTTCACATCTTTGCAGAAGGTGGTACAGAATTCCAAACCCCCAAGCTTGCTTCGAAATGTGTTCCAACTGCTAACGTATGTGCAGCCAAATTCGCAGACCTATAGACAAAATTACATTTTGCGACTGATATCTCAGACAAAAGAGATTTGCAGTTCTGAATTATCAAGCCAAAAGCAGACGAGTCATTCATAGTAATATTGTTGATGGCATTTGCAACTGACTGAGAATCAATTTCCAATAAAATATAATTCCATCCGTGATCCTTGATCCAGCTCAAAGCTTCTCTCGTGGCTATGGCCTCAACCACCTTAGCATTGAAAAAACCCGAAAATCTCCACGCTTTGCCAGTAATAAACTCAAAGGCTGAATTCCTAACTACTGTGCCAATACCTACATAACCAGAAGCCACTCCAGTTGAAGCATCCGTGTTTACTTTTATCCAGTTAACAGGGGTGGACTCCATGTACGATTTGAGTTTGCTGGAGAAGGAACTACTAAACCATGAAGCTTAGCTTCCTTCCATGCGTGCCAAACACCCGTAGCTAGCAAATTTACCCCCCTGGATTTTTGCTTTTTTGATGCCATACTATATCATTTCTGGTGATCCATAATGCCGAATACACCATAGAAACATAACTCAAATTCTCCAAGGTCAAGCAATTAGAGGCTTGCTGAAACCACTCCCCAAAAGACATAGCCGAAGACCACCGAAACCCAAGATGGGAGAGAGTCCAAACCTGTCTTGAAAAAGGGCAGTTGACAAGAATATGAAGATTAGTTTCAGAATGTCCAAGACATAGAGGGCAAATATCTTGAATGTCCACCTTCCGAGAGCATAAATTCCTCCTACAAGGTAGACTACAAGATAGAACATCACATACGGCACGCCAATGAAATAGTAACTTTTGGGTTGGATCTATCTTTCCACAGCCTTAGTCCCAACTTATAGTAGGCATAAATTGTGACGCAAGAGGGTGATGCAGAAGTTAAGCTGTAAGCACTCGTTGACTGTATATGTACCTTTGTGTCAAATTCTCCAGCAAACCCGTCATCTCCCATGTGGATTACTTAAAGAATAGAGAGGATATAAGCAACATGCTCTTCATTTGAATAATCGTCGAGTCCGCTCGACAATCCCATTGACAAGAATATGAAGATTAGTTTCAGAATGTCCAAGACATAGAGGGCAAATATCTTGAATGTCCACCTTCCGAGAGCATAAATTCCTCCTACAAGGTAGAACATCACATACGGCACGCCAAATGAAATTAGTAACTTTGGGTGGGATCTTCATCTTCCACAGCTGAGTCCAACTTATAGTAGGCATAAATTGTGACGCAAGAGGGTGATGCAGAAGTAATCTGTAAGCACTCTTGACTGTATATGTACCTTTTGTGTCAAATTTCCAGCAAACCCGGTCATCTCCCATGTGATTACTTAAAGGAATAGAGAGGATACAAGCAACATCTCTTTCATTGAATAATCGTCGAGTCCGCTCGACATCCCATCTTCGTTGCACAATAAGATTCGAAACCAGGAAAGCATTACTATCGTGTGGTCTAGGAGTGGAGATAAAAGAACACTCTTCATTAGACAGCTAAGGAGAATCCCAAATAGATGTATTCGAACCACTACCAACCCACAAATATAATCCCCTTTGAATCAAACTCTTAGACCCCTAAATGCTTCGCCAAACATAGCTCGGATTTGAGCCGAGATCAGCTTCCAGAAAACTACAATTCGGAAAATACCTTGCTTTCAAAACACGTGCAGCCAATGAATCCAAGCTTACCATGAGTTTCCAGCCCTATTTACCTGGAAGAGCTATATTAAATTCATGAATTTTCCAAAATCCTAGCCCTCCGAATACCTTCGGGATAGCCAATTTGTTCCAAGAAAGCCAATGAATACCCTGAGAGTAATTCCGCCCACTTCCCACTAGAACCGATTCATGATACGTTCCAATTCCATACATAAAGTCTTGGGTAACAAGAAAAGACTCATAAGATAATTAGGTAAAGCATGAAGAACAATTTTTAACAGAATTTCCCTTCCCACACGGGAGAGAGACTTTAGCTCCCATGAGTTTAAAGGCTTCCACATTCGGTCCTTAATATAATTAAAAACCTCCTTCCTATTTCGACCCATGTGTGACGGTAAACCCAAGTAAGTACCTAAAGTATCCTTTTCCGCAACCTAAAGTAGGGAACATATTTGATTTTTGGAGTGCCGAGGGGTATTAGCGTTGAAAGTAATGCAAGACTTATTTAAATTTATCTTCTGCCCTAATTCTGCCTCATACATAGCCAAAATATGTTTGAGAGATTGAGATTCCTAAATCGAAGCCTTCAAAAACACCAAACTGTCATCAGCGAAAAATAGATGAGAAATTAACGGTCCACCCCGACAAACTCGAAAACCACTCAGATTACCATTCTGAATAGACATGCGAATCATGTTTGATAAGCCTTCAGCGCAGATGATGAATAAGTACGGGGATAGAGGGTCTCCCTGTCGCAAACCCCGAGTGGGGATAATGGGCCCAAGCTCTCTATTATTCTGCAAAATCCAGTACTTGACCGAAGTTAGACTAGACATGATAAGATTAATCCATAGAGCATGAAAACCCAACTTAGTTAGTATTTGGCGAAGAAAGGACCACTCCATTCTATCGTATGCTTTGCTGATGTCCATTTTGACAGCTGTAGAAAAATTAGAACCCCTAGTCTTCCTATGAAATGCACGTAAAGCTTTAAAAGCAACAATACAATTATCCTGAATATTCCTACCCGCAACAAAGGCACTCTGGCTTTACGAAATCAGAAGCGGAAGAATAGTGCGAAGAGGATTTGCGAGCAGCTTAGTAATGATTTTTAACAAAACATTGCAAAGGGCAATCGGTCTCAAATCAGTCATAGATTCTGGGGATGATTTCTTAGGAATCAAAACCAAACCAATCACATTCAAATGATCAGGAATAGACCTGCTGTGAATTATCTCAACACAGTTCTGAGCAATATCATTACCTATAATGTCCCAGTAGCGTTGGTAGAAACCAGGATTGAACCCGTCAAGTCCCGGGGCTTTGTCGGCCTTCATGTCAAACACTACTGCCCGAACATCCTCAATTGAGTGAGGAGCTAACAAGAACTCATTTTGCTCCTCGGTGATAACAGGCTAAGTAAAATCGGAAACCAAAGTAGAGGTGCAATTTTGGGAAGCAAACACATTCGTAAAATAACGAACCATGAGATCCTCTAACCCGGAGTTCAAGTGACTCTAGTTTCCAGATTCGTCTCTCAAAGAAGAAATCTGATTCTGTTGCTGACGGGCTGAAGCTCTTCGATGGAAGAAACGGGTATTAGCATCACTTCCCTCAACCAGAACTCTTTGGCACGTTGTTTCCAAAAAATTTCCTTTTGTAACAATAATTCCTGGTACCTGTTTTTCACCTCAAGAAACTGGACATTATCCCCTGC